CTCGGGAGCCTGGAGGCCTTAGCTCCCATGCACATCAGCGGGCTGAGCCCACTGCCAGCCGGTGGGTCTGAGTGCAGCTTCCCCTCAGCGTCTGTGCCCGGGGCGGAGTGGGGGAGGGGCAGGGTTAGTTCAGGGCCCAGCGCCTGCACTTGGTGGCTCTGTGACGGTGGTCAGGATTTTAACCCATTGTACACTGTCGTACACCGCATATACGTCACATTGTGCACGTTAAAGTCAGGATGATAACGACAGTGCCCGTTTTAAAAGGTTGTAAGTGTGGAGGAGGAGATGTGGGTAGAGCGTGTTGCAGCTGGTGCTCAGAGGCGTTCAGCCTGTTAATTGTTCTACTGTGAATGTGAGTCCGAGTTTGTCCAATGCCTGTTTGGTGTGGAGGGAGTCCGTCACATGTTGTCCTTTGTTTCTGTCTGTGTTTCCCCCAAATCGGAGGAGACACTCTGCACCGTTTGCTCAGAGGCAGCTGTTGCCCCAGGCCAGGACGGCCTGGCCACTGCGGAGTCAGCACCTTGGACAGAGCACGAGGCCGGGCACCCGCTGGCCGTCTCCTTTCTAGTCAGCTCCAGCCGGCGCAGCCGGAGCCCAGCGGGTGCCTCTCCCCCCCCCCCCCGCCGCTGGCTCGTTGCTCGCTCTCAGGCCAGACCGGCAGAGGCAGCGAGGCGATTGGTCCTGAGGGCAGGACCCTGCTGCCCTCATGCCTCGCGTCGGGGTTGACGGTGCCGCCCTGGCTCCGCCAGGGCTGTCCCGACGTCTGTCCGTCTGTCTGTCTGCCCGAGCGGAGCACTGGTTGGGCAAAGGGCGCTCTCGTTACCGGGCTGGCCGTCACCGCCGCTGTCACTCCCCGTTCCGTCTTGGACGCCAGCCTTGTCCCAGCTCACTGCCGCTGCGTGGCTCGTCCCGGAAAACACGCTACTCTGCTGGTTCCGTTGCGTGGACGTGGCCACTTACCGGGTCACTCTGGGGACGAAGGGATCCTTGGTGCCGAAGGGAGCCCGGCTCCCGGCTGCGGTGACTGCTCTGTCGGGGAGGCAGACCTTCCTGCGGGGCCTGGGCACCCGCCCACCCCCGCCTCCCCGACCGGCCGGGTGACTCCGGTTTTCCGTCATGGCCGGGCTGGTGGCCGCACGGCACCGGATCCGCGGTGAGCGTGCAGCGGGTAGCACCGCGGCCCCCGCCCCATCTGACCTGAGACGTGAGCAGCTGTGTGCGGACGGGCCCGGGAGGCTCGCTCTCCGCCCTGACGCAGCTCCGGTGGGCGCGTCTCCCTGCGCACGCGGGGGACGCCCGTGCAGCGGGCAGAGCGTCTGTCTCTCTGCGACTCCCCGGGACGGACCCTCCCGCCTGTCGCTCCCCTCCCCGCTCCAGCCTCACGCGGGGCTGCCTCGTTCCGAGGACCCTGCTACCCCGTGCACCCCTGACGGCTTCGGTGAGCAGGCGGGACGGGGTTCGTGGATCGCTACGCAGTGTGTACGACCAGCAGGGTATGGCGAGTCGCGTTCTGTGCAGAAATGCAGCTCTGAAGTTGGCAGAGAGCGTGACCCTGGACGTCCTTTCCGTGGGAGCAGCTTGGAGAGACTCGGTAACTTCAGCACCACGGACAGGGTGCGCTGGGGTCCTCGGGTCCACTGTCCGGTTCCCGCCAGGCTCCCCCAACACCGCAGTCCCCTCTCCTTCCCTCCTCTCCTCACTCCCTCCACCCCCGCCCCCGCCTGCACGCTGCAGCCGCTCCCGGAGCCCTTTCAGGGAGAGAGACACTGCCCGGCACCTCACTGGCTCGACTCAAACACTGTTCACTATCTGTGGTTACAGCTGGGCCGATCGTGTCACCCTTGTGCCGGCGGTTACGGTGGCCTGGCAAACCGCGGCGACGGACTCTGGGCTGTGTGGGAGCCTGACGCGGTCATGTGTTTATAACTCACAGTGCGATTGTGTGGGCCAGGGATGAAAGCGGTCTATAAAGTTCCTACAGCTTTTGTGGGCCACGAAGCCAGAGTGAGTGAGCAGGTGGGAGGGAAAAGCGGAGAGGCGGTCCGGTTCGGAGCCCCAGCTCGCCGCGGTCTGGCGCACCGGGCGGCACTCGCCGAGGCCAGGTCCTCCTCTGCAGTGAAGACGGTGACGTTGACGGTCGGCGGAGAGGGCACTCGGGGTTTCTGTGACCGGGTCGCTCAGGCGCCGCAGACCCTGCTTCTGAGGCACCTGTGGTGTCTCTGGGCTCCCGTTCTGCGGGAGCACCGTGCACGCCGGCCTGGCTGCTTCCCGGGATCTCCGGCCGGTCGGGTCGGCCCAGCCAGCATTTCTGCTGCTGGCACCACTGCCGCGCCCACGGGGTGTCCTGGTTGTCCAGGGAGTGCAGCCGGCCTCACCCGCGTCGGGGAGCTTTGCAGGCAGTGAGCTGAGCTCACGTGTCAGGGAAGAACCACCCTCCTTCTTCCGTGGGAGTCTCCCTCTGGGAAAGGGGCACCTCCCCGCTGCAAGCTGGGTCTGACTAGTGCACCTGACTGGGAAGGGGCTGCCCTCTGAGGACCCAGGGACCTCCGTGAGCCGCCCCGGGGGACTCTGCGTTAGTCCGCCCCAGCTTCCCCCACGGAACCCCGTGGGCTGGCAGCTCCTGGGACAGGAGCTTCTCTCTCCCACCCCCGGGGCCGGACCCAGTGCAGTGCCCTGTCCCCCTGTTGGGGGCGGGGCCTCCCGTGCCCCTCCCCAGCCGGGGCCTTCTCAGAGGTAAACAGCACGTGTGGATGGGTGGAGGGAGGGGCTCGCATCTGGTGGGCGGACCCCACGGTCTGCCTCGGCTCCGATGGGCATCCCTCCCTTTTTGGGCTCCTTTCGGCACCTGCTTGTGGTCTGGACGTGTGGGGTGGGGGCCGTTGGTCTGGAGAGTCCTTGGGCTTCAGCAGCTCGCCCGTGACCGGCCCCTCGCAGTGGGGTCGGCACCCTGAGTGACGCCGTGCTTCCAATTCAGGCCAACTGCGCTGGGATGAAACCGGGCGTTTCTCCGGCTTCTCGCGGTGGCCCCGTGGGCCTGAGATCAGCCTTGGGGAGGCTGGTTCATCAGCTGCAGCAGTTGACCTGGAGTCACTGGGGGGGGCTGCACGTGCAGCGGAGGAGTGTGACGTTTCTGCAGCCACCAGCGGCCGGGGGCCGGGGTTGGCCCCCTTCTTCTTCTTCCCGACGCTCCCTGCTTACCAGCCACGCTTCTCGGCGAGATGCCAGGAGAGGTCGCGGCAGGGGCCAGGTGGCCGGTTGGCGGCAGGAGGCGGGAGCTGTGGGCAGACAGAGGCGCCTTCGGTAGGGAGGGACCACGCTTTTGAGCCGCGGTCACGGGCAGGGACGTGGGCCTGGGCCCCGAGGACTGTCCCCTCTAACAGGCACGGCCGCTGGTCGGGGAGGCGAGTCGTGTCCCCAGACCCCAGGAAGCTCAGACGGGGCGGCGATGCCACAGCTGGCCCTTTGCCTTCCCTGAGAAAGACGAGGATGACTGCGTGCTTAGGGGCACATCTCAGAGGCAGGGGGGTGGCTGTCACGTCCAAAAGCACTTTCCTGCAGCCGGGGGAGTTGTTCCTGGCCCCCCCCCGTGGGAGAGGAATGTGGACCTGGCTTCCTTGTGTTGCATCCCTGGAAACGCGGTGGGGGCAAAGGGTGCAGGGGCAAAGTGGGCAGGAGCGCCGGGTGCAGTGGCCGAGGGCAGGGAGGGCTGAGTGGGACCTGGGACAGGTCTGGGAAGGGGTGGGGGGGGCGGGGGCCTTGCTCCTGAGGGAGGAGCCTGAGCCCCTCGACCCCCGCCCCGTCCCACGCAAGGGTGAACGGGGCGCGAGGCCAGGGCGCCCACAGGACCACGGGGCCGTCGTTGGACCGCTCGGGACGCGGGTGCCCACGTGGGATGTGGGCAGAGAGCGTGCGGCAGAGGCAGGCAGACCAGGAAACGGCGGCAGTCGCCGACCCCCGGCCTCCGTGGCCATTCAAGGCCCCAGAGCCTCTTTCTGGTCCCTCTCGCGTGGGAGTTCTTCTTCCGTCTCTCCCGGGAGGGCCCTGCTCCCTGCTGACGTCGTTTTAGGCCCCTTTGCCACCTTCCTTTCCTTGGGAGGAAGCCCTCCTGACTGCCGATTCTGTTGGTTCTCTTCAGTAGGTTGAGCTTTCTTTGTGTTTTTCGGAATTCCCCTTCTCAGACCCGTCCTCGTGGGGGTGTCGCCCCCACTCTCTCCCGCTGGGCTCGCCCGTCTCTCCTCTTCGATGTTACCGTCCCACGGCCTGGCGCCCCTGGTGTGGGGTTGGGGCTCGCCCCGCCGGCCCTGAGCCCGCGTCCCAGGTGGGCGTGCCGTGTACGGGCCGGAGGTCCGGGCAGCGTTGCCTCCTGTGTTCTGTTGTCTCTGGGGTGGGGCGGGTCTCAGGTCTCAGCCTCGGCTGGCCGTGGGCCTCGCTCTGGGGCCCTGGCCTCAGGGGAGCTCGCCGAGCCCCACCCGTCCTGCAGAAGGGACTCCTGACCCTCTCCGCCTGTTCCTGGACCTGGGGTCTGAGTCCTCAGGGACTGCTGTCTCGTTTTCGAGCAGGACGGACCTTGGGAACACTCCTCCAGTGCTCTTCGAGGCTGTTTGTCGGGAGCACTGCGGGGCGCGGGCCGGTGAGGCCTGATGGCCGCCCCCTCGGCGAGCAGCCCTGCCGTCTCTCTGGGGCGCAGCAGTGCAGCGCGGTGGGCCCCCCGCCACGTGCTCGTCATGTGTGGTCGTGTTCTCACAGCGTCATCGTGAAGTGCCGCTGCTGCCCTTCTGTGGAGCGGGGGCCGAGGGCTCGGAGGGAAGGAAGGAACCGGCCCGAGCGCCACAGCTGTGGGTTCAGGCACCCCGGCCCCGGGTCTGATTTCAGGTCAGACTCTCGCCTGCCACGCCGTGCCACACCGCACCACGCTGCACCACGCCGCGCCATGCTGCGCCGCGCCACGCCTCCGCGAGCTGGGAGTCTCCTCACGGTGCCCTCTCCTTCTGTCCTAGGAAAATGAGCGGGAGGACGCCGCCCAGGGAGCGGCTCACCTGAGGCCCCAGCATGCCGGCCTGCCCTCCGGGGCCCAGCAGCTGGACCAGGTAACTTTCACTCGCCAGGCCACCGGGGGCCGGGGTGGCGTTTAGGGGTGACACGCACGCACACCGGGACTTGTGGGGCAGGGCACCTTTGGCAGGGAGGGGAGGGCCCGCAGGCCAGGCCACACCTATCTGTGTCAGTCTCCATTTTCCTTTGGTCGCAGTCCCGAGTCTTGCAAGAGCAAAGTGTCCCTGTCTTTCCAGTGGTCCTGACACAGGAGGAGCTGTCTGGCCCCCAGCTTGAACACGTGGGAGCTTTCCTTTTCCTTTTGGGGGCAGCAGCTTGTGTGTTTTAGTGACAACATCTTGCTGCCCTTTTCCTCCTCTGAGACCTCCTGCAGTAGCAGAGTCTCAGGTCCCAGGAGAGTGTCCCAGCGTAGGCACGTCCGTGGCAGGGACACAGGTTTGCTCTCTGTCCATGGAAGGGACCGGCGTTGAGCTCCGACAGCAGCCAGCCAGGGCGGGACGGGCCCCTGGGCAGAGGAGCGCGTCCCTGGGGGCCGATGCTGAGGACTCTGTGTGTGGGGGCGTCGGTCCTGTTCTGGGTGGCTCGGCTGCTGCCCCGTCAGACAGGGAGCCGTCCTCTGGGTCCATCAGCCACACGGGGCAGGGGCCCAAGGTCAGCCATGGGAAGTACCAGGGTCACGACAGTTCTTGCGTGACCACGTGACCAGAGCCCGGGGCAGAGGCAGCTGCTGGTGCCAGGCCGCACGGCCGGGGGTCGGAGTGTAGGTGGGTGTATGTCAGATGGAAGCAGCACGTGCAAAGGCCCCGGGGGTGGGAGTGGGCGTGGCTTGTTGAAGGGACAAAAAGGAGACCAGGGTGGCCTGGGCGTCGTGGGTGGTGGCCACAGGGCAGCAGGTCGCAGCAGAGAGGTGTGTGGGGCTGGGTGCTGTGGAGCCCCGCAGGCCACACTGGGAGTGGGGAGTGTCTCTGTGGACGCCACAGGAGGCTGCAGCCAGGAAGCGGCCCGCTCCGGCTGTGTCCCAGGACGCTCACACTGGCTGCTCTGGGACCTGGGCGTGGGCCGTCGGACCTTGTGCCCAAGCCCTGCCCCTTGACTCGTGGGCACGAGGCTAGAGGGCTGCCTGCCCAGCAGTGCCCGCAGGGCCGAGGCCCACACACGAGTGCGCCCTCTTCAGAGAGGCTGTGGCACTGCTGCTCGGAGCGAACGGGCACGTGCCCAGGCTCCTACCACTGTGCAGGTGGCATCGAAGCACTCCTGCCAGTCAGACCTCTCCGTGACCTCTTGGGAACAGTTCCCTGTGACGTGCAGCGCAGTGGAAGGGCCCCCGGAGCAAACCGGGCGACTCCCTGCAGGGCCATGCCCTGCTCTGTCCCCAAGGGGCCGCGGAGAGACCGCGCACCAGCGGGCAGAGGCGTGCCCTGCTCTGTCCCCAAGGGGCCGCGGAGAGACCGCGCACCAGGGCGCACCGCCCAGGCCGCCCCCGAGAAACATGTCCCTGGGGCTCACGTCTGAGAACGGACGGGGGTCCTGAGGTGGTCGCAGCAGCTGCTCACCCTCATCCACGTGCAGCCTTGTTGCCGTTGTTACCCCCTTTTAGGAGGGGTCAGAGTTTCAGACAAAGAAGCTGGTGTCCGGGACAATTTGGGCGACACTATTGTATTTCTTAGGACTTTCAGTCCAAAGGGGAGAACACAATTCAAATCAGTGTAAGCAAGCAAAGAGAATCCTTTCATTCATTTGCATGGAAAGGGAAAATGTTAGCTTCAGGCACAGCTCGATCCAGGTGCTAAAGGATGTCATCAGGATCCTGCTTCTTCGCATCTCCTGGTGCCACATCCGTTTTGTTGGCTCTGTTCTCAGATGGATCGTCCCCTCATGATGGCAAATGGCACTTCAGCTGCAGCCTTTGTCCTCAACTTTTCGAGTCTACTGGGCAAAAGAGACAGTCTGTCCCAGGCTCCAAGTGCAGTACACCACTCTGTGCATGCAGTTGGGTCACGTGCCCCTCTGCAACCAATCACTGTTCTGAGGGTTGGAATCACACTGATTGGCCAGGCTGGGGCACGCCCCCGGTCCTGAGCCAATCACTGTGGCGGTGGGCGGGGTGAAAAGGGAGGCAGTGTGCAGATTGCCCGGCCCTTGGTATTCACCCCAGCAGGAGTGGACCCAGCACAAAGGCCAGGACGGGGAAGCCAGAGGGGAGACTGCACAGAAAGGAACTAAAGAGGAAGCACCTGCTGGTGGAGACAAGTGCCCACGGTGTGGTAAACAGCCTCCCTCTCTCCCCGTTGCTGCCTGTAGGTGAAGGCGGAGTATGCCCGCCTCAGCCACGCGCTCGCCGCCGTGACCCGAGAGCGCGATCTGGCCGTGTGGGAGAAGTGCCAGCTCCGAGCCAAGCTGGAGAACCTAGAACAGGTCCTCAAGGTAGGACGCCGGCCCGGCTCTCCCGGGGGCCGCGGGAGCTCCTCGGTGGGAAGGGGCTAAACTTCTTCTCTCTGTCATCACGATTCTGGGCTCTTGCTGCTGTTTTACTTTTTTTATGGTGGAAAATGTGATAAATGACGAAATTCAAGTGTTTCTGGAAGCGATCCCGAAAAGCCAATTATGCACTTCCGTTTCTCAGAATGCTAAACACAGCTGAGCGGAGACGGCAGGCAGCCGTCCCGAGCGGCAGGCGGCGGCCTTGAGTGGGGACTGGAGGCGTCTGCGTTGGTGTCTCAAACCCCGTGAACGTGATGACCTTTGTTACAGAGTCAGAAGGCCGCGTCTCCAGGGCACGGGGGCTGGGAGGCTTCTCGCGCATTTCTGGGGGGCTGGGGTTGCCTTCGGTGTTCAGCGGGTGGGGTGACCTGCTGCCGATGCCGCGGGGTGGAGCCGCGTGAGTCCTCCGGCTGTTCCCTCTTGGGGGCACGTGTCCCATGTCACTGCGTGCTCACTGTGGGAACAGGTACGGGGTCGCAGGCACGGCAGAGTGGCCGCGTCGGGCCCCGCACTCCAGCCCCTCCATCGCCGGGGCCCCGGGCGTCTCCCGAGCGGGGAGCAGGCCCCCCACGGCAGCAGTGGGCTCCATCCACTACCTCCGGGGAGCGTGCTGGGCTCTGAGGGGAAGCAGAGGGGCCAGCAGGGGGTGGGGGCTGGGTGAGTGGGAGGGGGGTGACCAGTGAGGGGCACAGGCTTCTCTGGGGAGATGGAAGAGTTCGGGGTGCCGCGTGGTGGTCACGCAGCCTTGGGAGTGGCCAGCAGCCGCTGAATCGTGCAGGTGCAGAGGGCGAGTGTTGCGGCAGGTGAGTCCCGCCTCAGTTCAGGAACAAAGACGCCCTGTTCTCTAGCTGCTGGGCCCCGGCTCCCTGGCCGGGCCCACCCACAGGGCTGCAGGCCGGTCTCTGCTCTGGCCTGGAGCGGGCGAAGGGCCTGACGTTCCGACCGGCACGGAGGTGCCCGCTGCCCTCCCCCCCGACGTCAGGTTTTTCTCTCAGCACCAGGGCCCCGCGCACATGGAGACACCGCAGGCCCACACCCGGATTCTGTCCCTCCCGCTCTGTGCACAGCCTCTCCTTGGCTGCCTCCTCCCTGTCTAGGGGTGGACACACCAGGGTGTCACATGCCCTCGGGGGACAGGTGGGGGAGGAGGTGGTGTGGGAGCTGGAGGTGAGCGTGGGGACTTTGGGACGGGGACCTCTGGGGTCCAGGCAGCTGCACTGTGGTCTGGCAGGGGAGCGTGTGGGGTCTGGAGGGGCAGGTGCACGGAGACCCCAGGAGGACTCGGCCAGGGGGGCACTGTCTCCTGTGTCGCAGTCCATGAGCCCCAGCGAGGCTCAGGCTGCCCAGTTTGAGGAACCTGGGAGCCGAGTGCTCACTCCTAGGCATGTGGCCACGGGGGCGACGGAGAGCTGACGGCAGATCCTGGTCTTCACCTGCGAAGCGTCACCCCTGTGGCCACGAGGAGAGAAGCGTGTGGGGCAGGAGTGGATGCCAGGGCCTGGGTCCAGCGATGTTCTGGAATGCAGCGGGGTGGCTTGGACTGGTGTGGGCGTGGTGGGGGGGAGGGAGAGGTGGTGGGTTCTGGGCGTGTTTTCAGGGCAGAATCAGCAGGATTGGCTGATGGACTGGGCGGGGCTGTGCGGGCGGCGGCGTCAGGGCCACACCGAGGGTGCGTGTGTGAGTTTGGGGTGACGGTGCCATTTGCCAGGATGGGGACATTTGGGATGGGCAGCTGGGGGCTGGGGATGGCCTGGTGACAGAGCGCACTGTGACCACGGGACCCTGATCCTCTCTCTGGGGACCGCCCTGCTCGTCACCGGGAAGGGGGCCTGAACCGCTGCAGGGGGCGGGGGACACGGAGGCTCGGAGCGGAGACCCCACGTGGGTGAGTGTGGTGCTCAGAGGCGGCCACCGCGTGCTGGCTTGTGAGCATGTGCTGGTCACAGTCAAGTAACTTGTGTCGCCCCCTCCCTGACACGCCTTAGAGCCGTCCAGTGAGGGGGCTGCGGCACATGCGTCAGAGCACTCGCCGTGCGCGGGTGGGCGTCGCTGCAGCCAGCGTGCACGCAGCGTCCGTCCGTCCGGACTGGTGATTAGTCCACCGGTCAGTCATGTTGATGCAGTGGCTTCTTTGTCTCCAGAGATCACGGCTGTGCCTCTGGTCTTCGGGCTGACGATCCGATTCAGCGAGAGGCGGCTTCTCGCTGACGGCCGTGGTTGGCTCTGGGAGCCGCGGGCCCGCTGACGCTGACGTGCGGCTTTCCCCGGGGGCCGTGTGTTGGGGCCGCCCAGCGGCTCTGCACTGGAGGGCCAGGAAGTGAGGCCGTCCCTGCCGACACTCGGGGCGGGGGGGCGGGTTCCCAGACCCCGAGACCTTCCAAGGCCTGCTGTCACCGCCGGCAGCCTCTCCTCCAGTGGCCCACCTGCACGCCTGAGCGAGCAGCGCAGGGCCCGGAAATCTGACCCGGGGACACAAAGCACTTTTGATTGGTTAAATGCAACACCTTCTGTTTTGACTCCAAGAAAAAGAAAAAAGTATTCAGGACAAAACTTTGTTCCCATGATCGACAGAGCAGTCAGTGATGCAGATAATCTGGGGCTTCTTTCCTGGCGACAGGTGGCTAATTGCCTGGGATCGGCCAGTGCCTCCCACAGGGACCGCTAATCTGCTTGTGTCTGCGGCTCCCCCTCTGTGCCTGCACACCCCAGGCCTGTGCTCTGAGGCGCAGCGCTGCCCCACCCCCCCATCCAGCCCGCCCGCGGTTACCCTCCTGTCGAATGAACATCCTGAGGTCGTCTTCCACACCGTGAGCCGCACACTCTGCGCGGAGCCTCCAGGGGCTCAGTGCGGGGCCCAGCCCTGGGCTCGGTCCTGCGGGGAGCCGCCGCCGGATCCTCGATGGGCCCAGATGGCTGACCGCACCGCCGGCCTTCAGGCGCCCTCGAGGGACGGCACGTGCGCTGCTCTGGAAGCTCAGTCCGTCCGCAGTCCACGGGGAGGCGTTGTCGGGGCGCTGAGCCCGCCGGCTGGGGCTGTGGGACGTGCGCTGTCCTCCTGGCCCCCCGGGAGTGGGCCACTGTCTCGTGCCCAGGGCCGCCCAGCCCCCGCTGTCAGCCGGGCCCCGAGCAGCCCCTCGACGGGCAGAGCCGCGAGCGTCATGCGTGGGCTCCCCGCTCGTCTGGGAGCGAGGGTGCACGTCAGCGTTCCAGGCTCACAGGGCTCTTTGTCGTGGGCATTCCCGTGAGCGAGCCTCACTTCCACGCGGCCCAGGGGTCACGGGGCGGGGCGCCCCGGCGGATCCGAACGCCTGTCTTTCCGGCGTGGCTCACGGGTGCAGTGAGGTGAGCGCCGGGTTGGCTCGCCGACGCGCAGGGACGCTTCCTCCTCTGTGCTGTGTCAGCGCCCCCTCGTGCATCGCGCGGGGTCTCCGTCGGTGGCCGGGCCTGGCCGTGGCGCTCGGGGTGGAGTGCCGTCCCGCAGCGCCCAGGTGGCGGGCAGGGTACAGGCAGCCCGAGAGTACGCGGGTCAGTGGGAGAGCGTCCCCGGCGACTCCTGAGAAGGGAAATGGCTCTTCTCTTGACGCCTCTGCCCCAGCGGGGCCGGGTCTGCGCAGCAGTCATGTCCCCCGCGGGTCTGCCTTAAGGGCTGGCTCAGCCGCTCCGTGTCCCCTCACTCCTGTCACACCTGAGCTCCCCCAGGACGCGGCCCCGTGACATTTGCAGGCTACCTCGGTGCTGGTGCTGATGTCCACACACCGCCACATAAAGCACGGCTTTGAAAAGCAGCCTTCCCCGGCGGGGGCAGGGCCGAGCGGGCGGGCTCTGCCGGGCCGGGAGGTCCTCAGGGCCGCTCAGATGTGGGGTGTCCCTGCGGGGCGGGGCGCAGCGTGGGCCCTCAGAGCGGGGAGGACGCGCGCAGACGGAAGTGGAAGCCACACGCTAGGGACCTGGGGGGAGCGTGTCGTGGGCTGAGGGCGGGGTTTCCAGACGCTCTGGGAGAACCGGGATCGCCAAGGCTTGTGGCAGGTGTGGGTGACACGCAGATGGCCCCCCAGGGGAAGTGCGGCATTTGGGGACCAGTAGGAGGGGGGCCGAGGAAGTTCTGTGAGGGGGGCCCCTCGTGTCAGGGGCCCCGAGAGACGGGCCCCCGGTGCAGAGAAGGGGCTGCTGGCTCGGACGGCCCGGAGCTGGTTCAGGCCGAGCGGTGGGAGGGCGCTCTCCTCCCCCGCCCTGCCACTGAGCTCACGCGCCGTGTCCACGGAGGGCACATGTTTCCACACGTGTCTGCTTCTCCGAGAACTGCATGTTGACGTGGCCCATCAGCCTGGGAAACCCAGGTGCTGCTTCCGCCCCGGCCGTCCCCGCCCATCTCCGGCCGTCTCCGGAGCCACGACGCATCCTCTTCCCGCCCCAGACAGAAGCCGGCAAGGGTGTCTGTCGTCCTTCGTCCTGCCGTGACCCCACAGCCGACGCGGCCCACCCACACGGATTTCTGTGTCCGTGTGACGCTTCTGATGGACCCTTGTGAGGAGGGCGGTCCCCTCCTTCCCCTCCTTCCACGGATGACTTCCTTCCTGGAGCTAAATGAGGAGGCCGGGCTGGCCTTCAGGAGGATGGCCGGGGCAGCCTGTCATCAGGCAGCTGTGTGGCTGTATGTCCAGATGAGGCTGGCTGTGCGGGCACCTGCCGGGGCCGGCCTGGCCGGGTCCTGTGCCACGGTGCAGTGGCCGTTGGGGGAGTGGACACAGGCTGGGGGGGGCAGTGGGGAGGGGTGCACGGCCCCCGAGGCCGGACACGTCGGGGCGGCTTCCGGGCTGGGCTGCGTGGGCCGTGGGGCCTCCAGCAGGCTGCTCGCTCCCTGCGTCTGCTGCATCCAGCGGGCATGGCCCCCGCTCGGCCTCAGCGGGGGGGCATGTGGGCCCGGGGAGTGCCTGGCAGGGGCCCGAACGACGGCCACTCGTCTGCCTCGTCTTCATCACCGCACGGTGCTGCTGTCCTCGTCGCTCTCGGTCCTGCCGGGGGAGCCCCAGCCACTGACCGTGCTGCGCCCCTCGGGTTTAACGGAGGAGCAGCCTCCCAGGGCTCTGAACCGCACAGCTCCGTGTCACCTGCACTGTGTCGCGTGACTGTCGTGTGGCACTATTACGTGACTCTGTGTTAAGTGACCTGCACTACGTGGTGCCATTACGTGACATGTTACATGACTGTGTTGTGACTGCCACGTGACTCTGTGTCATTCCACAGCGCACAAGGTCAGTAGGAAGGGGTTTTCTTACACTCAGAGTAAAGGGTAGCATAGGACTGACGTGTGACAGGTGTTACTCTAATTCATGTAAAGTTCAGAACATCAGAACACCTCCAGAAGCAGGTGTCAGTCAGTAATTCACGTTAGCCACCTCACTAATTGTTCCTTAAACATGGGTTGGACTGTACCCGGCCGTGAAGGACAGGGCGCAGCCAGGGAACCACCCCCCATCTTCTCCGAAAGCAGATCTGTCCGAGGGGCCTCTGGACTTGCAGCACCCGAGCCTCGGTCCAGCAGAGCGAGCCGACGGCTGAGCTGAGACTCAGGCTCTGGCCAGGGCCGCAGGTTTGAGGTCGGCAGCCACTGTCAGCCTTGTGACCAGCAGGGGATGCGTCTCTCTCGGTGCTCAGCCCTCTGCTCTGTGGAGCGGGGCTGGCGGCAGCACCCACCCCTGTGATTGGCCTGAGATAAGAACTGTGGCTTATGTAGCAGTGAGCAGCTTGGGACAACACCTGCCGCATGGGGAGGAAGTGAGAAACCACGGCTGTTCCCTGCAGAGCCCGGGGGGCAAATGCAGAGCAGAGATGGAGAATGTTTCCAGAATGAGGAGAAAGAGCCTCCACCTTTTCACCTTTGCGCAGGAGCCTGTGGTTCCTGCGTTCACATGCCAAAGGGAGGAGCGGGGTGGAAGCTGGGCCAGTGCCAGCATGTCCCCTCAGTGCTGCCACCCTCCGGACAAGCCGGGCGAGCGGCAAGGGGCGGGGGGTTGGCATGGGGAGGGGTCTCCCTGTGCGCGGTGCACACATGCCCCCCTGACATGCCCTGTCCCCGCAGCACATGCGAGAGGCCGCTGAGAGGCGGCAGCAGCTGGAGTTGGAGCATGAGCAGGCCCTGGCTGCTCTCAACGCCAAGCAGCAGGAGATCGACCTTCTGCAGAAGGTGAGCGGGAGGCGAGGTGCTCGGGTGGGGTGGAGGGAAGGGGCGGGGGGGGGTGGGTCCAGGACGGGCCAGGGACGCTGGGAGCGGCGGGCTGCTCGCCGAGGCTGGCGTCCCAGGCTGGGGGGGCCCGGCCCGCAGACACTCAGAGTCCTCTGTGCTCCCTGGGCTCTCTGCATCCCCCGGCCCGGCCCGTGTGGGTGTCTGAGCTGCAGAAGCCGACACGAATCGCTGGCAGTCCCCGTGGTGGGGCCGTGGGGAGGACTCGGTCGCTGGTGGGGTGGGGGCGGCCCCTGCCCTGGGGTGTGCTGCAAGGGGCATGGGGCCCCGCTCGGAAGGGTTTGGGGGTTCTGCGCACTGCCGTTGTGGGCAGTGGGGGTGGGGCGCTGGACTCGGTCCGTGCCCATCCCAGGGCACAGCTGTGTCCGCCCTGCCAGCGCCCCACCATGGGCCGGCGTGACATCGCCAGGTCTTTCGGTTTGTGGCCGTCACCTGGGGAGGCCGAGTGCTGCGTGGTTGAGGGAGCAAGTCCGGTTTCTGGGCAGTGTTTACAGGGTGACCTCATTGACAGGGAGGGAGGGAGAAGAAGGGGGCGGCTGGGCAGTGTGTGCACCCCCAGCACCCGTGACAGCACTGGGGCTGAGAAAAGTCCCCCTCGACCTGTAAAAGCCGTGGTTCTCCTATCTGTCCCCACACACACTGGAGGCGCTCTGTCTCAGAGCCACGGGGTCTGGGGGGGCCCCCATGTGCACCCCCGTCTCCATTTCCTCCCGAAGCCTGCATCCCTGCCCACCCTGCTCACTGCCCCCACCGGGCAGCAGCCCTGCACCCAGAGCCCACCTCACTGGGGTGCAGGGGCCGGCCCTGCAGGTGGGCAGCCCCTGCGCCCCTCTGACAGCCTGCCCGGGTCTTCGGTCTCAAAACAAAGGGCCAGGACTGCCCGTCCGGCAGCTGCCGGGGCGGCATCTGTCCCCGGGGGTCCGCCAGCAGAGGGCCTGGTGCCAGGTGGCACCCTCACATCATCCCGCTCCTCTGACCACCTGTGGGACCCGGAGCTCAGCGCGGGTTTCACTGAGGCAGCGCCGATGGGGGCTGTCGCAGCCCTCGCTGCCTGTCATCACAAGGGGCTGGCAGCCGAGAAGCAGTGTTTCCTCAGATGCTGTCCAGAAGGGGCCCCGCCGGGACACTGGCCGCAGTATCAGTCGCATCTCCACCCGCGGCGCGGAGGGCCTGCCGGCACCCGGCGGTGGCGGCCTGGCACCTGGAAGCCGCGTCCCCAGGCCGGCGTGTCTGAGGCAGAAAATGGCCTTGGACGTGCCAGGTCATCCGGGAGGGTGGTGGGTCGGGGTCGCGGCACAGCCCGGGCCGTCGTTCCCCGAGTGTCTGATGCGGAGACGCGCACACAGCGCCGACTCTGAGCTCCTCGCCCGAGCCCCGTCCAACCTCCTCGGTCCTGTGCCCTCGCGTTCCCCGCTGTCACCTCTGGTCTGGGCATGCGCTGCTCCCTGGGGCGGGGGGAGCCCCGGGGCAGGACCTTGGTATGACTGCACGTGCCGCAGGTGCCACTTCTCCGGGCTGGGGCGTGCAAAGGGCTGGAGGAGGGGCCAGCCTGGAGCGGCGAGCGCTGGGTGAGTTCTCTGTTGTCCCCACGAGGGGCGGTCCGACACCGCTCTCGCTGACCGGATCGTCCGTCTGTCCGTCCGTCCGTCCGTCCGTCTAGCTGGCGTCGGCCTCGGGCTGCCCAGGGGTTGTCCTGGAGCCTGGGGACCGGGGGCACGGGCAGCGAGCCCAGGCCTCTGTGCGCTCGCTGGGGGAGAGTGGACGTGTGGAGGAAGGGCTGACTCCATTCCGACTGGGGGAGCGCAGTGATGGAGGGAGGGAGGGGTTGAGGGGGCGGCGACCTCAGTGGGCGGGGTCGCAGCGGTCCTGCCATGTCCCCCAGTGCTCTTCAGGGGGGCTGGGGCTGGGGGTCCAGTGTTTGGACCGCTCCTCCCGCAGCGTGTCCCAGGGGCCCGGCGGGGAGGCAGCGGCGAGGACGGGCTGTGCAGAAGGATGACAGAAACTGCAGCGCGACCTCCGCTCTGTGTTAGACCGTCTGCCCGGCACCAGGGACACGTGCGTCCCCTCCTTTACATCCCCGCCTCCCTGTCTCCCCTGTGTCTTGTCACCCTCCCTCCTGGCGTCACTGTGCTGCAGCCACACTGACCTTCTGTCCGTCCCCACCTCCCCCACAACTGTCCACCTCTTGGGGTCTTTGCCCAGAAGGCCTGGTCCCCACATACTGGTGGAGGTGGCTCGTTTTTGTCATTGGAGTCTCTCCCCCCTCCCTGCCTCAGCACTTCGTGCAGGGGTGCCCCTGCCCAGAGCGGGGGCCACACTCCCAGAACACGGCCTGGCCCACGGCAGGACTCCACAAGTGGAGCACGAACCAAGATGCCCAAGAGCCCTGTGCGTGTGAGCAAGTGAATCGGTGAGTGAGCGAGTGAATGAGTGAGTGTGTGCGTGGATGAGTGTGAGCATGTGAGTGAACGATTGTACAAATGAGCGTGAGAATGGGTGTGTGAACGAGCGTGCAAGTGAATGAGTGAGCGTGCAAGCAAGTGTGTGCGAGTGAGTGTGCGAGTGAATTTGAGTATGGGTGTGGGAGTGAATGAGCGTGTGTGTGTGCGGGTGAGTGTGAGTGAGCGAGTGAATGAGTGAGTGTGCGAGTGAACGAACGAGCGAGCGAGCGCGTGATCTGCCCAGCTCCCTCTGCTGATGGGACTAACTCCCCCGAGCCTCCCTGTGTCCCGGCCCCTCTGGAGGCCGCTGTGCTCAGTAGCAAACCCTGTCCCCGTGAAGGTCGCAGCTTCCCCGCAAACTGGCCCCCGACAGGAGTCTTGCTTAAGCTGTCGTTTAGATTTTGCAAGAATTCAGTGCTGCCGACTCGAATGGTTAATTTTAACCACCCCTTCTGAAAGCCCCACGGCCCAGCTTGCGAGCAGCCCTCGGACCCCGTCTCCCGATTTTCAGTCGAAGCTGGGAGCCAAGTCTCTCCTGCCAACTTGGCTGAGTTTTCACAGCCGCTCTGTGCGTTTTGTTGCTTTTTTCCACCCTGCCGCTTGAAAACCATCTCCGGCTCAACTGGCTCGGGGCTGGTGTTATTTATATATAATCCCTCTACGTTCTCCGCTGGTTTGTCTTTTTCTCCCGTTTCGTTACGTGTTGTCACTTTTGCTTTGAAAGGAACAATTTTAAGCATTTGGAGATTGAGCTGGATTCAAGAATGGTGTAATTAGATGCCTGTGTTCTATTCACTTCCCCAGCTTTTAAAAGCCTCGTTTGGAAAATGTGAGAATGGGATGATGCATATGAATGAGCGCTCCAGAAATCTCGGCCGCCTCTCGCTCGCTCGGCTTGTGGTGGGGGCGGGAGGGCGGGCGCTCCCCCGCTCCGACCCGACCCATGGAAGCCTGCAGGTGCGGGGGCCGCAGGTGCGGGGGCCGACGCTGCTCCGGTAGTGCTCGCGGGCCTCGGAGGTTGGATCGCTCCCTCCTGGAGAGAGTTCTCCGCTGGAGCCGAGAGTTCTCTTTATCTTTGCGTCTCTGACTTGACTTGTTTCCTCTTAGAAAGGGGGAGAAACGTCCGTGTGGGAGAGAGGCGTTGATGGCTGCCCTCGCACGCCCCCAGCGGGGGACTTGGCCCACAGCCCAGGCCTGCGCCCTGACTGATAGTCATGCTGGTGACCTTCCGCTTTGCAGGATGACACCCAGCCAGCTGAGCCACACTGCCCGGGGCTCTGTCTTTAAATTACAGTCACTGGGGCCGCGTGGGTCAGTAACATCATTTACGTTTCAGTGTCCGATTCTGTGACACCATCTGTATATCGTACCGCGTGCCCACCGCCCCAAATCCAGTCCCCTTCCGCCACCGTGGGTGTGACCCCTTCACGCACTCGTCCTCCCCGACCCCCGTCGTCCCCTCTGGGGGCCGCCGCCCTGCTGTCCGTGTCTGTGGTCTGTGCGCTTGTCCCGTGGGCTCGTCTGCTGCTGCTCTCAGTTCAGGCCCCACGAGGGACTGAAGTCACGTGGTCCCAGTCCTCTCCCACCTGACTCGTCCCGCTGAGCACGACGCCCTCGGGACCCCCGTGTGGTCGCAGACGGCGGTGTTTCATCTTACTGCTGACTAGTGTCCCAGTGTGTATATGTCTGACATCTTTTTCATCTGGTCATCCATCCGAGGACGCTTTGGTTGTCTCCGTGTCTTGGCCACTGTGAATAATGCTGCAGCGAGCACAAGGGCACCCAGGTGTATCTCTCCAAGTTAGTGTTTCCAGGATTTCAGGTAGATGCCCCCAGAAAGAGAGATGACTGAGTCCTGCAGAACTGAGAATTCTAAACGTAAATCTCAATTTAACACACAAATGGCTTTGTTTTTGGTTCTCATGTGGAGGCCCCTCATGGTGGCAATGTGGCTGCAGCTGCACCAAAACTCCCCTTCACTCCCGCTCAAGTCCAGTAGGCAAGGCACTTCCATCTACCGCAGAATTCCCAGGCAAAGTAAAGCAGAACTAGAGTCCAAGCTGCGCTCATGTACTCAGTCAGGTGAGGGCTGGACCCCGGCCAGGTCGGTGGCTCTTCCCAGGAGAGGCGGGCACAGCTGCCAGGCAGGCAAACCCAGCAGACAACTTACTGTTCTCACAACGCCAGGACCCAGGGTCCTTGGGGACAAGGACTAATGCCGAGTTTCGGTTTCATGTGAATTTGCCGTTGGGCCCAGGCGGCAGCCAACCTGAGAATGGACGTTAGTGACACTTGCAGAATTTTCTCGTCTGTGGAGCAGATGGTTCTGCTCCGAGTACTTTGAAGGGGGTGGCGCCCTGCCGCTGGGGCTCAGCCGCCGACAGCCCGTTGCAGGCTCGGGGCGCCCACCCCAGCCTCCCCTCACGGTCTCCGCAGTCCTGCCTGGCCTGCAGCCGTCGGGGGTCAGGCCCGCGTGCCTGCTGTGGGAGCAGACGCTCTCCTGCTGAGGCTGAAGGACACCTGAGGACACGATGGGGCCACCTGAGGCTTCAGGAGGAACCTTCCTGCTGTTGTTCTGGGGGTGGGAGCCGTGCGCGCGACCGAGTCTCAGGAGCAGGCTCGGGGCGCGCCACCCGCACGCCCACCCGAGTCCCGTCGGCCCGTTCCTGCTGTGGGACCGGGGCGCACTTCCCCGTTTCACAGAGGGGACCCAGCTGAAGGCCGCCCCATCGTGCCGAGAGGGAAGCACAGTGAGAGCTGACCCAGGCTCTCGAAACTCAGGGCCTGTGACAGCAATAAGTCGACGGCTCTCTCCCTGGTAATCTGGACATCAATCCGTTCTTTTCATTTTTCCTCCTTTAAACGTGCACTTCTCTCTTTTTATCATCAAAAAGGCTCAGGTTGAAGCTAAGAAGCAGCATGAAGGGGCCGTGCAGCTGCTAGAGGTAAGCAGACGCGACCCACGGGCTCTTCCTCTGGGGCGGCCGGGCCCGGCGGACGCAGTTGCTCACGTTCCCCACGTGCCCACGGGGCACCAGCCACCAGTGCCGTGCACACGCCCTCCTGTCCCGGCCTGTGCAACAGGCGCCATCACGATCCCTTTGTAAGGGGAGGGCGTGAGGCTCAGAGAGGTTGAGCAACTTCCCCTGGCCACACAGCCAGCATCAGGGCTGGGGTCTCAGATGTGGTCTTCTCGCCTCTGTCGGCTCCTCTCAAGTGGGAAGCAGGGAGGGTGGCCCTTGCGTGGGAGGGACTTTTGGTTTCTGTGTGGAGGCCCCTCATGGTGGCAAGATGGCTGCAGCTGCCCCAAACTCTCCTCTACTGAGGCTCAAGGTTAGCAGAGCAGGAGCCCGTTTCCCCAAGGAGAAAGGGTGGTGGGCCGTGCCCGTGGGTGTCCCGCTGTCGAGTGCACTGTGTGGAGTAAGTCTTCAGGCGACTGCGCTGGTGCTGAGGGAGCACATGGCAGTGGGTGTCAGGGAGGCGCTTACAGCGTTACAGAGAGGACGGCCCAGGGCACCCAGGCAGCAGAGGCCCCTGGGGGCATGGCCCCACCGCTGTCCTCGGAGAGCAAGGCGAATGGCCCTGCTCTGCGGCCCAGGCGGTGGGGGCCGGGCAGGGAAGGGGCACCAAGCCTACCAGCGTGGGTGTGGCTGCTGTGCCAGGAGCCGCCATCCTCTGTCCCCGGCCTGACGCCAGCCTCCTGGGGGCAGGAGGACGGGTGAGCCTGGACGGACCCCTGGGGTCACCCAGAGGCCTTTGCCGGCTGCATCCTCCGAGAATCACGCCCAGGTCATGAGCGGGCCAGGCCTCCCACCTGCTGGGACAGAGCCCACGCAGTGCAGACCCCCAGTCACGGGCGGCTGCAGGGTGGGCCCCTCCCCCTCCCAGGCCCCTCCCCCTTCCAGGCCCCTCCCAGCTCCCTCCCAGTTCCCTCCGCCAGGAGTGGCCCACTGCCTCCAGATGTGGGGTGCGGTTGCCCTCTTGGAAGTGACCTCGTCCCGTCCCCGGGGAGCAGCAGCCACTTAAGACGGAACCCGTGCGTCTCTCCCGTGGCCCTGTAGGGCCTGTCCCCTCGGGAACAGGCTCCGGTGTGCTCGTCATCTACGCGAACCTGGTTTCTTGAAAGCATCCATTAGCTAATGAGTATCTGAGGGGCGGGTGTGATGGATGGGGGTGTGGGGGGAGATCCGGACCTGCAGACCGCTCTCGGCCCCTCCCCCAGACGTCCCCCGGCTGCTCCGGCCGCCCACCACTCTTGAGTTCGCTCCGGCTTCTGGCTGCAGGCACAGCTGCTTTCTCCGGCGGCTGAAGCCCGCTGAGGGGAAGGTCCGTGTTGCTTTGACCGTGTGCTGAGCTGCTGCTGTGACGGTCACGCCCCCGGGGCTGGTGGCACTGCTGGCCTGCCTGACGTGGGGTGACGGCTGTGTCGCACTTGGGTTTGGAAAGTGACAAGCAGCGCGACGTGCTGAGAATCATGCCTTCTTCTATTCACATGTCCTTCTGTGCTTGTGTCTCGTTGCTTCGCCTAGAACACCTTGGAGAGCATGCAGGTACTCCAGGAAAGCCTGTCCCCGCCCCCTGTGCTTGGTGCCGCTTCCCCGTGCATGGAGCAGCTCCCTGGGCCCGCTCAACCCCTCTTCTTCCCATGCCGCAGCCCCCGATACAGCGGAGGGTGTGGGGGGCACAGAGAAGCTGCCTGCAAAGCCCTCGGGGGGCCAGGCTTCTGTCTGGGCCCCGAGACATTCGGTCTAGTCCCTGCGGTCCGGTCCCTGGCATGTTGAGCAGGCCCAGCGGGCTGGGGTCCCTGTGGTCTGCCCTGGCTGTGACTTCCAGGCTGGGGGACGCACAGCTCGGGGAATTCAGATGACCCCAGGGAGGGGCTGCTGTGGGCCCAGCCTCGGGGCCCGGGTCATCAGAGTTCCGACCGGGCGCCTGACCATCCCACCTGCGTGCCGTGTCTGCTGTGGGGTGTGTCTGTGTCTGCGTGGGCGGCGGGTGGTATGGGGGCTCGGTCTGCATTCCGCCCCTCCGCTGCGGAACCGAGTGTCGCCCCTGGTGTGGCCGACTGCAGGCAGCGGCCGGGGTGGGAAGCCGGGGTGGCGGTCCGCAGCCCTGCCGCTGCCTCCTTGGACCTGCGGACCTGCGAGAGGGAGGCAGGTGTGACGTTCAGGTGCGGCAGAACCTGGGCTGCACTGTGACCCTGAGACACGAGCAGACGAAGGTTTCCGCTTTGCCGATGTCCCACGCCCTGGGTCCCTCAGGAGGCCTCTCTCCCCCGGGGTCTGGGTGGTGGACTCTGCCCCCACCCCTGTGGAGGGGCCTTCACAGCTGGCACCCCCGAGTCCCTGCCGGGAGGGGGCGGGGCAGGGTCGCTGCTGTGCCGGGGCGTCCCCCTGGCCCAGGACGCACCGGTGCCGCCTTTGTGTCCAGGGCCGCCCCACCCCTGCCTCTGCCGGCTCCGAGGGCGGCCCAGGGGTTCCCGCCCCGTGCGGAGCGGAGCGGGGCTCCTCTGCCTCTGACGGCTGTGTGGAGACCCGCCGTGCAGACACCCCCTGACTGGGACGGCCCCGGCCGTGGCTGCCAGTCCCTGGGCTGCGGCCGCACAGCTAGTTCAACAGAGGCACGGATCGCAGGGAGCAAGGCAGACCTGCATCCCTGAGGTGCCGGGCCCCTGCGGGCTGCCGAGGGCAAGGCGCAGGCCTCCTCACTCCCGGGCTCTGCCCGCGGTGCCTCTGTCCTCTTCCAGGCTCCAGGGCCCCTGGTCCTGCAAGGGCCCCGGGGCTCAGGGCCTGCTCAGGCGACCTCACGGGGTTTTCCGTGTCTGCCGTCATGGTGGGCCGGAGCCAGGGCAGAGATGGGCACTTAAGAGGCCGTGAAAGGTGCCCCTTAGTTGGGGATCGCCCTGGAAAAGGTGAGGGGCCTCCGTGTCTCTGGTGGATGATGGGAGCGGGGAGCGCTGACGTGCCCGCGTGGGCTCCCACTGCCGTCTCGCTTTGCTGGCGGCAGGCGCCCACGCAGCCGGGCGCGTGGTGGAGCTGGGGGGCCTGAGGCCTGCGCTGGCTGTGTGCCCTGGGGCTCTGGGAGGCACGCCGCGCTCCTCTGCGGAGGAGGGAACCGGGGCCCACCGAGAGGGGCCAAAGGCCAAGGCCACACACCCCAGAAGTGGCAGGACAGACCCCGGTCTCAGCACTGCTCCCGGTGCCTCTGTGCAACGTGTGCAGACACGCATGAAGCCCGTGGATGCCCGGTGGCATCTCGGCCGGGGTCTGTAGCTCAGCACTGTGCGGGTGTCCGCCCCCAGCTCCCACAGGCCAGCTCCTGGTAGCCTCGGGCCGCCTGGAGTCCTCTGAACCAGTGTCTGGACACGGGGCCGTCCAGAGCCCGGACCCCAGGAGCCAGCCCCGGGACCACTCCAGGGCAGGAGAGCTGGTGGGCACAGTTTACATCCTTCAACCCCCGCCAGTGCCCGTCTCTCCACCCGTCACACGCAGGAAAAAGCTGGTCATCGCACCACTGTCCCCGGGCACCGCCCTGCCAGCGGGTGCGCCTGGGGCGGCAGCGGGGAGCTGCAGGTGGCAGGCGTTGTGGGGGCAGCCGCCTCAGGGCTTCTCGACGGCCACTCGGAAGACTGCCCTGGCGGGGGGCAGGCTGGGGGCTGAGCCCCGCACTCTCCCCAGTCCTGGGCTGTGCCACCAGCAGCTCTTGCTGCCAGTTTCAAACTCGACGTGCCTGGGCTCCGTGCAGAGCCCGGAACCACCCGTGTTGGGCCGGGACCTGAGTGTCTCAGGCTTTCGTGGCACCCGTGGTTCCCGTGTGTGCCCTGGAAGGGCACGTGGCCGGCGGCCAGCCCGAGTGGGAAGTGTTGTTTCATCAGACGCTGTTCCTGGGGGACGTGGGGGGCAGCCCTCACCACACACAGGCACGTGCGGGGCAGGCAGACACACTCACACGTGTGCACGCGGGTACATGTGACACCCGTGGTGCGCAGGCACGCGTCCCGCCCCGCCCCGCCGACCCGTGTGTCCCCCGCAGTGCAAGGTGCGGGAGCTGGAGGACAAGTGCCGGGTGCAGAGCGAGCAGTTCAGCCTGCTGTCGCGGGACCTGGAGCGGTTCCGGCAGCACGCCGGCAAGATCGACCTGCTGGGCGGCGGCCCCGGGACCTCCTGGGACATCCCCTCGCCCCCTGGCAAGCCCTTCCCGCGGTTCCTGAACGGCCTGGCCCCCTCCATCGGCTCAGGTGAGTGCCCAGGGCCCCGCCCGCCTGGGCCGAGGTGGAGAGGGCGGCTGGAGACCCCCACGAGGGCCGTGCTGGCTGGGCCTGGGGGCGGGCGTGCCAGGACCCTTGGCACTTGACAGGTGTCAGCGAGGGCGACCGCGGCAGTGTATGTGCTCGGTGCTGTTGGGAGCCCCACGTGGGGCCACGCAGCCGGGGGCCTGGGCGGGGCTCCAGCGGGGGTCATGGGCAGGGACCACGCCGTCCCTCCCGCGTGGACGGAGCGACCCTGGGATGCCTCTCCGGCCGGGACAAGCGGCGTGTCAGGGACAACGCCCCTCTGCTGCCGGGCAGAAGCGCTGCGCCCTCGCCCCGGCTGGCTCCGGGGTCCGGTGAGGAGCTGCCGTGTACACGCCGTGGCGCCCCGCACCGTGTGGGCGCTGGGGCCGAGGCAGGGAGCAGCACACCGCCCCGCTCCCGCACCCGTCAGCCCCGCAGGGCACACACGTGTCGTGTCAGCAGCCGCCCTGGCTGCGGAGAGGCTGCCGCCCGGCTCTGTGGAGCCGCTCGGTGCTCGCTGGCTCGGACTCAGGCGGTCGTTGCTTCAGCGAGGCTGCCCCGTGGGGCGACGGCCACCGAGAGACGGGGGAGGGGCCCCGGGCGGCTGAGGCCCGGCTGTCCCGGGACAGGGCCAGCCCCCCGGTCTCAGAGCTGCCGGCCCCGCGCGTGACGGGGGCGGGGCTCGTGACCACTGGCCCCGCGAGGATGGGGCGGCAGAGAGCCCCTTCAGCCCTCGGCTCTGGTCGGGGTGGTTTCAGCCACGAGCCCCGGCCCCTGGCCGCTTCGTGCCTCCTTGGGACCCCTGGGCCCTGAGTGGCAGCAGAGCCAGCCCACACTGGGGGAGCCAAGGGGAGCCCGTCACCGAGTGTGGGCGGCGAGCCGGGGCTGCAGCCTTGGAGGCTGCGGGGTCCAGCTCAGCAGACAAGGGCACCCCCGCCCGGTGCTGGCGGGGCTGCGGCTCCAGGGGCCGCGAGTCCTCTCTGCTGCGTCCTCTCCGCGGGGTCGGTCAGGCGGCCTGAGTGGGGGGGGGGGGGGGGCCCCTGAGCCGAGGCCAGAGACAGGGGCAGACAGACCGCCGGGCACTTTATCACCGCACCCCTCCCACGTCCCCTTGTCTCCGTGGTCGGGGCCAGGTCAGGAGAGCGCCTCCGGAAGCCGCACTGCCGTCGGGGACTACGTCCGGCCCCTGCCGCTGCCCGGGGACAGGCCGGAGCCGCTGTCCGTCAGGCCCACCTTCCTGTCGAGATCGGGAAGCCCGAGATGCAGACTTGAGTCAGACGTGAGTGCTGTCCCCGGAGGTGCCCACTCGGCCCTGCCCCCCGTCAGGGCGGCAGCGGCTCCCAGGAGCCCCAGCACCCGAGGCTGCAGAGCCCTGGGGGCCCGGGGGTGGGGGGACATGTCCGGTGTGTCTCCCCCACGGAGTCAGCCGTGTGACCACGTGTCATCTGTGCCTTTGACAGATGGACAATGAGCGGAATGCCAACCCCTCCAGGCAGAGATACTTGGGGAAGGTGCACCTGTGTGTCGCCCGCTACAGGTGAGGCCACGCCCCTCCTCTCGGCCAGCCTCTGTGGGCGCAGGGCCTGGGGGCAGGTGAGGTGTGGGGTGTGGGGCCTGCTGTGAGCTGCCACTGTCCTTTCTCAGGCCCTAAGTGCTGGCTGGGCTGGGCTTCTCGGGACGAGGGTGTGGGGGACAGAGAGGCATGGCACGTCCATCAGGACACGGGACAGGGAGGGATCCCTGCACAGGACAGGGGTCGGGAGGCCCGACTCTGGCCCCACCACACCACTCAGTGAGCTCGCCACTCCGGACAGGCGAGCGCTCCTCACTGGGCTAGTACAGGTGGGAGTGAGGGCAGCCGCTGGCTCTCCTCGCCGAGATTCGCTGGTGACCGAATAAAACACGTGGCCTCGCGGTGACAGGACTGCACGGGTGTCACCTGGTTGTTGTCACCTCACGGGGCCACAGGCTGCCACTGGCGACCACAAGGAATGTCACTGCTGTTTGCTCATTGAGACCTTTTCTGTTATTTCAAATTAATTAACCTTCTAATTAGAAAACCCAGAACGTGTGTCACGTGTTTTACCTGCAAGCTGGACGTGACTTTCTAAGGTGGTGGCTCTAGTCTTTTGAGGACCGGAGGATGCAGGCACTTTCGTCCTCCTGGGGGGTTGAGCGGGGTGCAGTGTGCGTCCCGTGTCAGCGCTCTGTGGGGGTGCGGCCCCAGGACCTCAAAAACGCGCACAGCTGGCCAAGAACGTACTTCCCAGGGGTCTGCCTGCAGGAAGGAAGTGTGCAAAGAGGCGTGTAAGGACATCGATGCAATGCCGGTTATATTAGCCCAAAGTCAGAAGGAACATCAATGCCCAGCGTTAGGACGTCAAAGCATGTGACTCTGCCCGTGGAATATTATACGCCCATTGAAAAGGTCATGGGGTGGGGAAAATAAGCAGATCATAAAGCAGCGTATGGAATGTGATTATGCCTTTGCTAAATAGTGTGTGTGGAAAGATGCAGGGCTGATCATCTCCCTCTTTGCTTACCGATTTGGAGACCTGTAGCTGTGGTAGAAGTGACAGGTATGAGCGGAGATGTCAGAATTACCAGTGTGTCACCTGATGCAAAGACCCCAGAAGCGCAGCTCGGCCTCAGAGCCCTCTGTTTCCCGTCTAGGAGAGGGAGCCAGCCACGGCCCCGAGTGCCCGGGTCTCAGCGCACAGAGAGCAGACTCGGTGGCGCGGGGCCGGCCGGCAGGTCTGGAGAGGCGGCGATGAGAGTTGGCAGGGCCGGGGCTGTGGTCGGCCTGCATCGGCGCGTCCCCGAACGGGTTTCGATTCTCCCGCAGCTACAACCCCTTCGATGGCCCCAATGAGAACCCGGAGGCCGAGCTGCCGCTCACGGCGGGGAAGTACCTGTACGTGTATGGGGACATGGATGAGGACGGCTTCTATGAAGGTCAGTCAGAGCGTGGCGGTCGGCGGGTGCACGGGGCCGGCCCCCCACCGGGCGGGTCTGTCTGGGGCCTGAGAAGCAGGCCAGGTCCCCACACAACCCCTGCTGGCCCCAGGCTCTGCTCTGACCCTCCCGCTCTCCAGAGTCGCCAGGTCGTCCACTGGTGAATGGTCTCCCCGGCGGTCGAGTGGACGTAGTGACAGCTGCCACCTGGGCAGGCCGAGGGGACGATGAGGCCTGGGCCTGGTCAGAGCAGAGAGCAGGGCCTGGGCACAGGACCCACTCAGCAAACGTCAGTCGACACCCCCCTCGCCCCTGCAGCCAGCGGGGCCGCCTACGCAGAGCACCCCCGGGCACGCGCTGACCAAGCCAGGCCCACCCCCAGTCCCCGGCCCCCAGCCCCCAGCCCCGCCACGGGGCCCAGAGCAGAGAGCGTGTGCCCGCCCACTCTGGAGGAATCCAGAGCTGGTTCACCGGTTGCTGTGGCTTCCCTCGGGCAGGGAGCGGTCCTTTCCTGGGGGTCCGGGGGGTTCCCGGTACTTCCCAGCCCCGGAGCCTCTGCTCTGGCGGGCGCTGGGGGCTCTCGGAGAGAGAGCGCAGAAGTGAGACCATGGCTTGAAAAGAAGGAGCCCCGTGACCACCCACGGCCACCAGTCCTCCTGAGGGGAGCTGCTCGGGTGGCTTTGGTCGCAAACGGACACCCTGGGGGCCTCACGGCGCCACGCATGGCGGTTTGCAGAGCAGGCCCCCAGGCCCTGTCTGGGCGGCCCCCGTGCCGGGGGCGGGAGCGGGCGTCCATGCTGTGGCCTCCACACCTGTGGTCTGAGTGTGTTGTTGGCCCTGCTGGCTGGCACTGACCCAGGGCCCGGGGACCCAGGGCCCGGGGACCCCGGGCTGGTCAGGGGTGGTGAGCGGCAGCGGACCTCGCTAGAGCGGGGGTCAGTGGGCAGACGCAGGCAGAGGGCGTGGAGGCGTTGGGTGCCATGGAGATGCCTGATGGAGGGTGGGGCGCTGGGCCGGGGCACCGTGGGCGTCGGCAGTGGGCCCTGGGTCCTGAGGGGCAGCATCTGGGTGGGTTCCCGGTGGGCCCCGTGAGCTGGGCGGGCGGTCACTCTGTCCTGCATCCGGCAGGGGAGCTCCCGGACGGGCAGCGGGGCCTGGTGCCCTCCAACTTCGTGGATTTTGTCCAGGACAGCGAGTCCCGATTGAGTGCCCTGGGGGCCGAGCTGGGCCGGAACCTCATCAACCACGCCGGCCCGGGCCTGGACGGGGAGAGCATCCTGGACCTGCACCCGCCCACGCCCCTGGACGCGGGCGTCCCTGACGGCGGCGTGGGGACGCTGGACGTGAACATCGACGACGTCGGAGAAGACATCGTGCCTTACCCCCGGAAAATCACCCTCATCAAACAACTCGCCAGAAGTGTCATTGTGGGCTGGGAGCCCCCGGCCGTGCCGCCAGGGTGGGGCGCCGTGGGCGGCTACACCGTGCTGGTGGACCAGGAGCCGCGCCTGCGCCTCCCGCTCGCGGGCAGGACTAAGGCCCTCGTCGAGAAGCTGAACGTGGCGGCCTGCACCCACCGCGTGTCCGTGCAGTGTGTGACGAGCCGGGGCAGCTCGGACCAGCTGCGCTGCACGCTGCTCGTGGGCAAGGACGTGGTGGTGGCCCCCTCCCAGCTGAGGGTGGACGGCATCACCCAGGTCTCCGCCCGGCTCTCCTGGCTGCCCACCAACAGCAACTACAGCCACGTCATCTTCCTCAACGAGGACGAGCTGGACGTGGTCCAGGCGGCCCGGTACCAGTACCAGTTCCTCAGCCTCAGGCCCAACACGGCCTACAAGGTCAAGGTCCTGGCCAGGCCCCACCAGATGCCGTGGCAGCTGCCCCTGGAGCAGAGGGAGAAGAAGGAGGCCTTTGTGGAGTTCTCCACGCTGCCCGCAGGTGAGCCCGCCCCCCCGGGGTCCCCCACGCGGGACTCGGGGCCGGGAGTGCAGCGGGTGCAGGGGGGGACAGCTGCGTGGAGCCCACGTCACCCGTGGAGCACATGGTGTGTGTGAGTGTGAGTGCCGGTGCGAGACGCAGTCAGGGCAGAATGCGGCCTGTGTTTAGGGCGGCGGTGGTGGCAGTGTTTCTTTGCACCCTCGCCTGACCCAGGGGCTCGTCCTGTGAAGGACGGGCGGGGTGACACCTTCCCGGGACACAGCCGGGCCTGCCCCCGCCCCTGCCCCTCCCAGCCCTGCCGCTGTGCGGCGTGGTGCACCAGTGCCCACACTCGTCCTTGCCGTGGGTCTCCTGTAAACCACACACCTGGACGCGTTTGTGCACCAAGCGTGAGCTCCTCTGGAGACGCAGTTCAGGTCCCAGGCGCGTCGGCCGAGTGACCCGTCTCCTCCTGCTTCCTCGGCTGTAGCTGGAGGAGGGGTGACTCCCACACCCCCCATGCCAGAGAATTGTGGACGGTGGTATGGACGGGCCTTCTGGGTCCACCCGCTGTCCGGTTTATTCCGGTGTATCCCACTCGCTGTTGTCTGTCCCATGAACCCGGTCCCGGCGGGGAGCCTGAGCTCTGGGGGGGCGCCGCAGCCCGGGAGCAGAGCAGGGGTTTCGCAGGGACCCTGGAGGCGTGAGCCGTGCCCTCGGGGCCTTCCTCCGTCCCCTCGGCCCCCTCGGCCCCCGCTCGTTCCTCGGGAGTTCCGCCGACACTTCGGGATCAGTTTACCAACGGCCTGAAGTCGCCCACCAGACCCAAGGCCGGCTGCAGGGCCCTGCGTGGGCACAGACAGGACTCGGGGGAGGGGGTGGAGGCGTCGCGTGGGAACTGACTCAGGAACGGTCTGGTGGTGCCTGTTACGTGTGACGGCTTCATTCCGCGGGGGTGACTCTGATTGTGGGGTCAGGGGGCCCCTCTCACCATCGGTGCCTGTGTGAGCCCTGTGCTCGGTGCTGGGGACAGAAACGGGACGCGCACCCAGGGCGGCATGGGCACAGAGGGCGGCTGTGGCACGCCCAGGGGACCGTCAGGAAGGGCTGCCTGCAGAGGGGGGTACAGGGCCAGGGACGGGGTGCGGCGTATCCTGGGCCGTCCGAGCTGCTGCGACAAAACTGCCCCAGCCTGGGGGCTGGAAGGGCGCACATCTCCCTCCGGAAGCTGTGGAGGCTGCAAGTTCAAGGTCAAGGTGCCAGCAGACTCCTGTCTGGGGAGGCCCCTGCTGCGCCCCCGGTCGGAGAGTCTGTGCAGAGCCGATGCCCAGGTTCCCGCGCTGCCATTGACACCCGTCTCCTCCGCCTCCCGTGAGGCCGCAGCCTGGGCGACCCGCAGGCCAGGCTGTGTCACCCCGAGAGAGAGAGGGGGGGGGGCATGTGTCCCCTGCCCAGCGCCGGGGCCCCTCAGCCATCCTGACGCGGCCCCGCACTGACTGGCCAGGCCCGTGTGAGTCACAGGTGGACTGAGGCCCGAGCGGTGGCCCCCCCGGCCCCACGTTCGCACTCGAGTCCCTTCCCCACGCCCGGCGATCCCTTTCTCGTCGTTCATTTCACCGCCGTCAGCGTGGAGCTGACGCCCCCAGCCCGTGAGTTCCAGGCGCACAGGCCTCCCCAAGCGATCACGGTGATGCGTCAGCGGCCGTCTGTCCCCGTACAGAGTCATGGAGTCGTCGAGACTCCACGGCCGTGCCCGCTCCCCCGGCACAGGCGGGGCTGACCCACGCGGCGGCTGGGAGTCTGTCCCTCCCGCGAGCGCCCCCCCTCTGCTGCGCCGCCCCCCCGGCACGGGGGCAGCTCACCTGCCTTCTGTCCCCAGGCCCTCCGGCTCCCCCCCAAGATGTCACAGTCCACGCAGGGGCCACCCCAGGGACCGTCCACGTCTCCTGGAAGCCGCCGGCCCTGACCGCCACCGGGCTGTCCAATGGGGCCAACGTCACGGGCTACGGCGTGTACGCGCACGGGCAGAGGGTGAGTCATCGGGCGGGAGGCCTGCCCGGGGCGGCTGACACCGACGCCGTGGGGCGGTGACCAGGGGAGCGCCCCCTCCCCCCTCCCCCCATCAGCACTCACCCAGTGCTTGCCCCCTGGCCACCCCAGGGCGCCACAGAACGCCGAGCACCCCCAGTTCCCTCTGCCCTGCTTTCTGGAGCCCCCGCCTGCCTCCCGTCGGTCACCTGCTCTGCACCTGTCTCGTTCTCCTGCCCCGGGGCTGCAAGTCCACCTGCCTCGAGTCCCCCGAGAGCAGGGCCCCTCGACAGAGGGCAGGCTTGCAAACCCCCAAACCGACTCTTGGCAAGATGGAGCCTGGGCTCCTGGGGAACACGATGCGTGGCTGGGCCTCAACCCCAGTGTCTGGCGCGGGACGCCTGTGGCCTCCGTCCCGCCCTCGTCCTGGTGCATGAACTGGCCAGGGCTGGCTTGGGGGCGGGGGTTCCTGCCTGTCCTCCTTCCTCCCCGCCCTGGTCCCCACCGGGAGCCAGGGCTGACCGGCCAGCAGGTGTGGGTGTCTGAGCTCATCTGGCTCCCCCCGTGAGCTCCTCCGGCTCCCCCCGTGAGCACAGGCCCCATGGGCTGAGTGGCCGTCTCTGCTCACCCGCCAGGTGGGCCCCGCCCTGTCCCCACTGGACAGGGAGCCAGCCTGACCACAGCCCGGCCCTCTCCCCTGCCCTGCTTTGACTGTCACGAATCTTGTGTTCTGACCTCTCTCTCTGCCCCCCTGCATCTGCCTCTGAACTGGGCCTGGACACGGGGGCCTTTTCTCCCACGGGCTGCATTGGCCCGCTGACCCTCCGACAGCCGGGCCCCCTGTCTGAGACTCGGGGGGTGTCCAGGCTGCACATAGGTGGGCCCCAGCTGCCGGGCCCAAGAGGCGGTCTGAGGTGGGCCCCTTTCAGGGCTGCAGGGGGGGCCGGCTGGGCCGGCCACCTGTGAGTGGGCTTCCTCTGTGGCAGGTGGCCGAGGTCATCGCCCCCATGGCGGACGGCACGGCTGTGGAGCTGGTGCGACTGCGGAGCCTGGACGCCAAGGGAGTGACCGTGCGGACCCTCTCTGCCCAGGGCGAGTCCGTGGACTCCACCCTTGCCGCTGTCCCCCCCGACCTCCTGGTGCCTCCAGCCCCCCCAAGAACTGCTCCCACACCGAAGCCATTAGCAAGTGCCGGAGTCCCCGATACCAAAGATGACCGCCTGGGCCCCTATGTCAAGGGGGATGAGGCCTGGGAGCAGGGCCGGGCGCCCTCCCACGGGCACATGCTGGAGCCCCCTGGCCTGCAGGGGAGGCGGTCGCCTTCGCCCAGCCGGATCCTCCCGCAGCCACAGGGGGCCCCCGTGTCCACCTCCGTCGCCAAGGCCATGGCCCGGGAAGCCGCGCAGAGAGTGGCCGAGAGCAGCAGGGTAAGACTGGTTCCCGCACGGGTCCTGCCTGCCCCCCCGCCCACCCCCGGGATGGGGCGTGTGTGCCCTCCAGCCCTCCTCTGGGGCTGCCCCCGAGGCCTGACCCCGAGGCCTGACCCCGACGGAACCCGTGCTCTCACCTTGGGGACATGGGCCCTGGTGACCGGAGCCAGCGGTTGTTGACCGGCCCAGCTTGGAGGACGGCGGTGGCCAGCCCCCAGCCCTGCTGTGGTGTGTTCTGGGCGTCAGCCTGGGGACCCAGCCTCCCGCCGGGGCACCTCCTGGCCCTGCGCACGTCCAGGTTCTTGCTGTGGTCATGCGAGGCTCACACGCAGGTGGACATGTTCGCACACGTGCACGTGCGGTACAGAAATCCACTCGTGCCTTTGTGTGACATCACCGGGAACCGTCTGGGCTGCAGGGCAGGGAGCGTGTGCAGTGAGGGGGCAGGTGTCAGAAACCCCCGCGAGGCCGGCTGCCCTCCTCTCCTCGGTCCTGGAGCTGAGCAGCACCTGGCGCCCGCCCTGCCTGGGCTCAGCCCGCCTCCCCGCTGGGCGCCCTGGTGTCTGCTGGGTGGTCAGCAGAGCTGACCTGGCAGAGGCAGTGGGCTCAGCGGTCCCCCTGCCCACCTGTCGGGTCTCCAGGATGGCGACCCCTGGCAGCACCTTCTGTGAATGCCGGTGCCTGGAGACCCCCACTTCCCGAGAGTCCCAGGGCCTGCAGGCTGGGCAGGGGCCCCAGGAGGTCAGGCTGAGAGGCAGGCAGGTCACCTCCAGGGGTCCCCATGGGGCGGCTGGTAGGCCTCCTGAGTGACGGCGGGCCAGCTCTCAGGCGAGGCCTCCCGGCTCGTGTGGTGTCCGCCTCTGACTGCGGACACGCTTCAGAGTTTGTGTGCGTGTCCTGGCCACACCCTGCTCTGCCGGCTCACGGGGCCGAAGCCCGGCCAACTGCAGAGCTCTGAGCTTTGGCGATGTGCTGTGGTCAGGAAGGCCTGGCGGCTGCCACTGCCCCTCCCCATCGGGCAGCAGCCCGGATACCCTGCCCAGGACCCCAGGGGTGGTCAGAGGCGGAGCCGGGCAAAGGGGAGGGCTGGACGCAGAAGGCCTGGGGGCCAGGCCGCCCCTTCCCTCCGCAGCCCCGGGGCCATGCTGCCTCTCCGCTGCCGACATGCCGACGCCTCGCCCACCCACGTCTGTCCTCTCCTTCCAAGCTAGAGAAAAGGAGCGTCTTCCCGGAGAGGGGCGGCCCGTACGCCAACTCGGATGAAGAGGACGGGGACGAGTGTCTGGACGTCAGGCGGAGGGGTGCCTCGGTGGACGACTTCCTGAAGGGCTCCGAGCTCGGCAAGCCGGTGAGTGCCGGGTTGGCGGCAGGGAGGGGTGGGGGCAGCTCCTGGCGCCAGCATCCCGCACAGGCCTCTGGCGGTCAGCACGGCCCCCTGGCCCCGAGGACGGGTGGGGCGGTGCCGGGCCTCGTGACGACCAGCCAAGTGGGCGTGGGGAGGCTGGAGTCAGCGATACCTGGGCACGGGGACCTTGTCTCGGGACAGTTTCAGAAGCCTGGACGGGAGGCCCCCACGCTGACCACCCCCTGCCGGCACCTGGTCACGGGGTGGTTTTGTGGGTCAGGCGACCAGTGGGCTCGGCTCAGGCAAAGCCTGCCATCTGTCGCTGCACTTCCGTGAGCCGAGCGGACGTTCGCTGGGCATCCTGGGAGGTCCAGGCAGAGGACCGCCGGCACCCTGTGCCCGAGCGGCAGAGCGTCCGGACGAGGCTCACGCACAGCAGGCCCAGCCCGCGGCTGCGTCTGCAGGTCTAGCCAGGCCTCTCCTCCTGGCGCCAAGACTGATGCGGGGCCGCGGGGGGCAGGGCCTTCGGGTCCCGGCACTGGGGGCGTCAGAGCTTGCACACACCCAGCACCTTCCCCCCACACACACCCCCCAGCACCCTCCACACACACACGCGCCCCCACGGCAGGGCAGCGTCGGGGCCTCAGCAGGCAGGGGCCACGCCCTGGCTCTGCCGCTGCCGTCGGAGCTGCAGGCAAGTCCCCTGACTTCCGCAGACGCCACCTGCTTTCTCCGCGGGATGACGTTGTCGCTCGGGGCACTCACTGTCACACGGGGACAGAACGCCCCGCCGCAGCGGCTCAGGGAACACGGACACGGAGTCACCCCTCGCCGCGGGGGTCTCCGGTAGGAGGCTCCAAGGTCCATTCAGCGGCTCAGCTGTGTCCGGGCTCTGGGTCCTGAACCCTCCGTCTGTTGACCGTTCTCATGGTTACAAAGTGGCTGCTATAGCTCCAGTAATCACACCCCCATAGGACAGCATCCCAAGAAGGAAGGGAGGGATGTGTGGAAGAGGAGGGCTTTCTCCTCTGCACTTCCCTGTTAATGGGGAGAAAAATAGCTTCCAGAACCTCTGTCGGACGTCCCAGTGGGCAGCCAGGGCATGTGCCCACGCCTCCGGTTCATCAGGTTCCTATCTGGCAAGCATCCCATAACCTGCTCCGTCCCGGGTGCACTAACTCAGCACTGGGCTTGAACCACGTGAGGCTGCTCCCCTGCAGGGAGTTCACGCCCGTGGGCCTCCGCAGACCTCACCGAAGCCCGCCTGGTGTCTGTGAGTTCGCCCACCGAGAACTCCCTCACTTTCGCGCTGTCTGCTTGGAGCCTCGTTGGGGGAACTAGGCCGGAGCAGCTCGGAAGCTGATGCGGCAAACTGCGCCAGCCGAGGACTTTCCAGGCCACCTCTCTCAGCCCGGGGCAGGTGGGGCCTTCTGGAACCTTCCGCCGGGAGTGCGCACACTGCCTCTTGCCCCGCGGGCCGTCTTTGTCAAGGGCAGTCATTGAAAGGGCGGTGTTTTCAACCACGCGTCTCTCAGGAGCCGTTCAACACACCTGTCTGGTCCCCCGTCAGGGACACAGGGGACACGTCCTCAGTCCCCACCGCCGAGCAGACAGTGTGACCTCGGTGCTCTGTGCTCATGACCCCAGCGTGCCAGCGCGAGGCTGAGCCGCTGCCGCTTTACTCACTTTCCTAAGTGCTCAGGGGTCTCGGGAGTCTGCACGTTACCAAGGACTCTTCACGTCACAGGGGCTTTTCTGTGACACTTCGGTCTGACGCTCCGTGCAGCCTCTGCTCAGGGACACGGGCCCCACTGGTGCCCGCGACAAGCTGGGCGCACAGTGAGCACAGCCTCACAGGGCTTCTGGCCCTGCCCAGCCAGGCTGTTCTCCAGACAGCCCCGTGCGTGTGCCTGTGTGTGTGTGTGTGCGTGTGTGTGCGCCTGTGTGTGCATGTGCGTGTGTGTGCATTTCGGACCACGTGCCGCTGTTTGCAGTCTCAGACTCCCTGACAGTGCAGAGACACCCACTTCCCCACCACCACACCCCTCCCATGACTGGGTCCCAGCCTGCCAGCCCCTGGGCGTGCACCCTCTGGCTTGTGCCTTTGTCCAGCCACCAAGCTGGAGATGCCGGAGGCACCGGAAGGCGATGCTTTCCGGCCTCGGAGGTGGGCTGCCGCGAGCCCGTTCCCATCAGGGTGTGGGGTGGGAGGCCTGGTTCCGGCCACCCCCTCACCACCCCGTCAGCATGGAGCACAGGGCCCCAGGGCCCCACGTGCAGACTTGTTGCCACATCTGTGAGCTCTCGAGCCGGCAGAGAGGGGCGGGCGCCAAGGACAGCCTCGTGGGGCTGCTCACTTCGAGAGGATGCTCATCCGTGCCCCCTTGCTGCCCCCAGCCCCACTGTTGCCACGGAGACGAGTACCACACGGAGAGCAGCCGGGGCTCCGACCTCTCGGACATCATGGAGGAGGACGAGGAGGAGCTGTGTTCAGAGATGCAGCTGGAGGGTGGGGGCCGGCGGCGGCCCAGTGGCACGTCCCACAATGCCCTCAAGGTCAGTGGCCGGGCGCCAGCCCCTCTGTCCTGTGCTCTGCTGGGGCTGCAGGGCCGGCTCTGGAGGGGCCCGCCCTGCTCCCAGAAGCCCGTGCATTGGACTGGCTTCTTTCTCGCCCTTGACTCTCACCCAGGAGTTCCCTGGCCTCCTCTTCAGTCTGTCCTCTTCGCTGAAGGGCCTGGAGCAAGGGTTTGGGAGGCCCATTTGGCACCCTCCTGGGGGCACCCAGCTCCGCACCGGGAGTCAGATGGGGGGGTCAGACAAGGAGGCCCCCACGGTCCACACCCAGAGAAGCAGCAGCCAGGAGGGCAGGGTGGGCCTGCATCCCAGCGGGGGACCAGGGGGCCGGCTCGGGGGCTGTGGGAAGAATCAGTGACTGAGCTGGGCCCTGCGGAGGGCGGGCGGGATGGCCGTCCTGGGCGACAGTGGGGTCAGACACCGCCTCCCCCCACCAGAGATGGGGCATCCTCAGCACCTCCTCTGGCGTGGCTGCCAGCGGGGGGTTTGACGGGAGGTCATGTGCACGGATACCGTGCCCAGGGAGAGGCTGGCCCCCGTGTGCCCCCAGCTCTGTCTTGGGGGCTGTCCACCTCTCTGCTGGCTGCTCTGGCCCGGGCGTTCATTCACTGCCCAGGGCCCGGTGGGCTGGTCGTCCCTGTGTGGCCCGCCTCCAGCCTGGGGGTGCAAGGATGGATGTGACCCCTGCCCTCTAGCCCTTCCCAACCTGGTGGGGGAGACGGACAAAGGGCTGGGCCACTGGTAGGATCTCGGTGGGGTTTTTTGGGTGGAAAGGCTCTAGAGAGGAGACCCAGGCTGGGGGAGAAGGGCCGGCCGAGGCGTTTCTCGGGGACTCGGAGTCGTGCGGAGTCGTGCGCTTGGAAGGGTGGGCAGGAGGCCACGCCCCAGTCTGCTGCCGGCCCGCTGGGCTCCTCCTGGCACGAAGGACTGTCTGACCACCTCCCGCAAGGGCCTCACCCAGGGACCTGCTGGGTCCCCAGGCAAACCTCGCATGGTTGCAGCTCCTGCTCCTCCCCCTCCCACCGGCCCCTTGCCCTGTGCCTGCCAGCTCCCCACGTCACCCTGTCTGGCGGGTTCAGGGGCCTTTCTGGTCGCAGGAAGGCCCCAGGCCGCCGCTCAAGGGTCTAGCCCGCTCTCCCGGGGACGCCCCAGGCTCACAGCCGGGCCAGACATGGCGTGTACCGGTGTCCCCGCCACCCACGGTGCTGCTCCTTTGGGTGGAGGGGGCGCCTGGGGCGGCACGCCCTGGGGACTGCGGGGCAGAGACGTGCAAGGTCACTGCCCTCCCTCTGGGAGGGGCCCCAGAGGGCAAGCAAGGTCGTTCGAATCCCCCAAGGCCACGCGGGCATGGTGAGTCCCACAGACACAGCCCCGCCCCCTCGGGGCATCACAGCGGGCAGGAAGTGGGGCCGAGGGCAGGACGGCAGCGGGGCTGCCAACGCTGGTGGGGCCGGTTTAGTCTGTCCACGGTGCTTTTGCAGCGTAGGAATCAGATGTCTTGGGCTGATCAGGGTTCCTAGCTGCTTCTAGAAATTCCGGGACAGGGTTTGGGCCCTGGTGCCCTGGGCTCACCGAGCTGCTGCCCAGCCCGGGTCCCCGCTGGACGGGTACAGTCACCCAGCACGGAGCCTGCCGGCCCTGGGGGCTCCGGGCAGACCCCGCACTCCGCCCCAGCTGTTCTCCCTGTAATGCTCCCAGCTCCAAGCACCGGTGTCCTCGCCGTCCTGTTAGCAAACAGGGGAGGTTCTCAGCAGGCAGAGTACGTACCATTCACCACCCATGGGTGCTCTGCAGGCCCTGGTGAACCTGCCACACCCTGTGCTCACGGAGCCCGCAGGCTGGGGTGGGTGCAGGCGGGGGGGGGGGGTAGATGATGATGCCCCCGTGCGGTGTGCGCCCTGGGCACTAGGAGCTGGTGGGAGGACAGGCGGGGTGTGCCTGGCCTGGAGGGTCAGTCTTCCCAGAGCAGACGCCCGAGGCTCCGTCTGAGCAGCAGAGTCTGAGGCCAGGCGAGCGGAGCAGGTGGGGCTGTGCAGCCTGCACCCCCGAGGGAGCCAGCACGGGGCGGGCCCTGGGCCCCCGGTGGCCAGGATGCAGCTCTGCACTCGGGGCTCAAAGTCTACGAGGTGGAGGAGGGTCAGGCAGACCCCTCGCCTTTGCGGGCACTGACGGGCAGGACTGGGGAGCAGGGACAGGTCTCAGGGCGAGGAGAGGCACCCGTGACCAGGCCCTGGTCTCACCCTCCAGCAGGGAGGAGGAGAGTGAGCTCGGTGCTAGGAAGCGGATGAGAGAGGGCAGGAGCTGGTTGTGACGCAGCTTGATCACACCGGCACCCAGTGGGAGCCACCCGGAGATGGGCGCGGCCGGCGGGCAGCCAGTGCAGGTCTCCCTGGCACTGTGGGCGCAGCCGGCTCACAGAACCCACCACGCTGGTCCAGGGGCGGCATCCTGCCTCTGCTGCCCGGTGCTCAGCAGCCCCCACCTGCTTCCCTGACGTAGTGCACGGTCTGCCCTCCCCCCGGCCCCCGCCCGCGCCCAGCCTGGCTCCGCCCTTCCGCCCACCCGCTCTCTTCTCAGAGCCTGGCTGGAGCCTGCCGTCCCGTACCACGCCCCGCCCCGGCCTCCAGGACTAACGCTGTTTGTGTTTCTTTCCCTCTCTCGGCCCCCTCCTGCCTGCTCACGCGCCTCTGTGCACGTGTCCCCTAGGAGTGCCGTGCGCATGGGACCTGTGAAGGGGCCCTCCTGGAGCAGCCCGAGCGCCCCCCGCAGGCCCCGCACGGCACCAGGCTGTGCAGTATCCCCGAGGTAGCGGAGGAGGACGCGGAGCCCCGCGAGCTCCTGCACGGACAGGGCTCAGGGTGCTCGTCCAGGGCCCGGGGGCCCAGGCCCGCCAGGCCCTGCCGGGGGTGCGGCGCCCCACAGGGCTCCTGGTTTCCTGCAACACCCAGCGGCCCCACGGCTGGGCCCTACCCCGAGGACGTCCTTCTGGAAGACAGAGGCTGCCGGGTCAGCCGCTCGGCCACCAGGAGCCCGGACAGCGGCCTGGACTGCGGCAGCGAAGAAGAGGACCCGCGGCGGAGCTCCAGAGGCTCGGCTGCCACGGGCAGCCCCGGCCCCGGGCCCTGTCCCTGCCGGAGCCCGAGGCCCCTGCTGGCCCGGCGGCGGACGCTGACCCGGCAGACCAGCATCGAGGAGGACTTTGGGGAGCAGGCGGACCCCGGCGCCCTCGTCAGGAGCAGTGATGCCCGCCCAGGCCCCGAGAGGCCTGGCCCCAGGACGTCTGGCTGGGACCAGCCTGTGGGCCCGGACGCCTGGAAGAAAAGCCTCAAATCGCCCCCCAGCAGGGCGGCCGCCCCGCACGCACAGGCTCCTCCCCGAGTGGCGGAAGGCCCCGGGGTGTGTGCAGTGAGCCTCCTCGCCTCTGCTTGACCGACCGGCCCGTCTGCCGCCTCCACCCCCTGCCCCCCGGTCCGGGCGCCCCTGGCCTCTCGCTGGCTGCCTGCGTCTCATGCCGCTCCGGGCTCCTGGCCCATCGCTGCCCGACCTCTTGACTGCGCTGAGGACTTCTTGATTTCGCTCCTGAATAATGATTCCCCCACCCCCAAATCAGCGGTGATCATGGCTGCTCTGGTTAAAGGACAACTGAATCTAAGTTTTAATTAAGGGTTAGCTGAACCGCGCTCACCCCGAAGTCTGGGGGCATGTGGGGTTTCAGATCCGATGCGGGGCTGATGTCGGACCGCTGGCACCACGGAAGGGTCTCTGCCCGCGGTCTGGGGTTTGCTGGTGCTGGCTGTGAGCTCTGGCCTCTGTCCTTAGCCGAGGAAGAGCGCCATTGCTCCTGTCGGGCCCGATTCTCCAGCGAACACAGACGTGAGGTCTCAGGTGGGCTGGGCCAGGCTTGGGGCCCGTGCAGCCTGCGGTCTGTCCACAGGGAGCTCTGACCCCCCCCAGTCCCCCTGTGGAGCTCGGCCCCCACAGCGGACACAGCCACAGCTGTTCTCCGCCCGTCACAAGCCCTCTTGTCGCCGGTGCCCCAAGCATTCCTCCTCCCTTGGGTGCTGGGGAGCGTCCCGACTCCGTTACTTACCTGGAGCCGGAGGCTTGGCTTCGACCCTCCGACACGCTGTGACCTTTAGTGCGTGCTCAGAGCAGACAGCGGTCAAGTGGGCCCTGAACGTGACCAGTGTCTTCAGGGCGGGGCCAGACGCTGCCTTGAGCTTCACACTCCCGGAGCCTTCTCCGCCTGTGAGTCCTCGGCGACCTCACGTGAGGCTCCGCGGCCACGTAGGGCTTTCCTGCCCCTGTGGCCGTGGCGGAGAGGGGCCAGTCGGCCAGGGGTGCACGTGGTCCTGGGGCCGCGGGAGCGACAAGCCGAGTGCAAGCCCCTTGGTTTGGGGTCGGAACACCTGGCTTCCGCAGCAGGAGGGGTGCCGCAAAGACACCTCCCAAGGGACTCTTTACGCCTGCCCCCCTGCTGTGGAAGTCGGGGTGCCGGGCCCAGCGGCTTTGTCTCCCGGGCCCTTCAGCTAACCTTTCAGTTAAAAGCTAAGTTTAGTTGCCTTTACAGCTTGTGCTTCTGAGTTGAGTTGCTTTGGCTGACTCGGTCCTGCGTCCCCAGGGCTGGCGGGCTCATGGCTTTGTTGTTCTGTCTCCAGATTCTAGGCAACCCCGCGTCTGCAGGACGGGCCGACCGGCCGGACTCCGTGGGCCGCAGGTTTCCGCACGGCAGCGCCGGCCCCCAGAGGTCCCGGCCAGGGACGGGCCCCTCCACCATCGGTTAGTGTGCCTGCGGGGCACGCGGCTGCCCAGAACCGCAGTGCAGACGTTTAGAAACATGACTGGGAACAGCCTTTTCATCTAAACACGGGGACCCCCCTTAGCTGAGGCAGAAGGAAGGAGAGGTGGCCCCAGAGAAGTGAAGCCGACGTGTGAGGCTCTCCCTTGGGGGGTCCTGGCGCGTTCTCAGAAGACGGAAGGGAACCACCGGGCTCCTCGGCCCTCAGGAGGGAGGAGATGCAGCCGGCGTCTCCGCGTGCAGAGGTGAAAGGTTGGAAACGGACCCCTGAGTGCACGAGGCCACCGGTTAGGCAGGTGCCCTCTTTCCCGCGGGCGTCCCCGCCCCGAGAGGAGACCTGGCCAAGTCTAACTGCCCTTGTCTCCCTGACCGTGGCGTCACCCCTCCCACACAGCTCCTGCAGAGCCCCCCCCCCGCCCCGAAGAGGGGCTGAGCCCCCGCGCGCGCTGACGCAGCCACCACACCCGCCCTTCCTCTGCTCCGTGGGTCCCGTCGGGGCCGCACTGCGCAGACGCCTCTGTCGGGAGCTCCAGGGAGCCGGGGGTCTGTCTGTGGCCTGCACACAGGCAGCGCGCGTGGGGAGCGATGGAAGGGGTTCAAGTTCGTCCCCTCGAGGAAGGCGGACCCCTGAGCTCTGGCAGACCCGGCCGCCCCGGAAAGACCCCCAGTTTAAGTGATGATGTGGGGTGCTCACATCGGAGCACTCGGAACCCCCGGCTTTCCTGCACCTGAGATGTCGCCTTTCACCTCTCAGTGTCTCTGCCGGTGACAGAGCCAGCGGCTTGGCTGTGCCTGCACTGCCTGCCTTCCCACGCACCGGGGGTTCGCCGTCGGCCCACCCGTGCGCTCGCGTGCAGGTGCCAGGGCTCTGGCTGGCTGCTGGCCCGCCTGCCCCCTTCTGGTGACCGGGCTGCCCTCGCTGCCTCCGCCCCGACCAGCGGGCAGCCCGCTTTCTCCCTCCGTCACCATCGGGGGACGATGGGTTTGCACGTTCGTCTAGCTGGTGGCCTAGAGGGATCTGGGTGCAGGTCCACCACGGTGCCTGATGCCGTCCCTGCACCCTAGCCAGGGTTTCAGAAAGAACCCTGTTTGCAGCTGGCCGGGAGGGGGCAGGCAGTCACCGCGCGGATTGTCCGGAGCCCAAGGAACGGCGTGGTGGCTGCGTCATACCCTGCGCTGGAGACCCCTCAGGCTTCGGGTGCCCATGTGGTGCTTCGGCGGGATGCTCAGCCCTCTGGTCCGTGTGCGTGCGGGGACAGCTGCGCGTGAGGTGGGCGTGCACCTCGCACACGCGCCTGGCCCGCGGGACCAGTCTCTGCGCACATGCTGCGTCACACGCTTTCAGAGTCGACAGAATTCGCGTGTCCGGGTGCCTGGGGCTCCGGCGGGTGACCCAGCTCGGCCCTGTGTGCCTCCCGCCCCTAGATGACTACGGCGACCGAGACCGGCTCTCCCCCGACTTCTACGAGGAGTCCGAGACCGACCCCGGCGCCGAGGAGCCCCCGGCCCGCATCTTTGTGGCCCTGTTTGACTACGACCCCCTGAGCATGTCCCCGAACCCCGACGCTGCGGAGGAGGAGCTGCCCTTCAAGGAGGGGCAGATCATCAAGGTGGGGGCGCTGCGGCCTGGGGCCCCCGGGGGCTGGGGGAGCCGGGCGGGGCAGGCACCGCGGCCGGCCTGGCTGGGAGGCCTACGGGACCTGGTTCGGAGCCCACCAATCACCGCACCGGAAGCGGGGTGACGTCATTCCGAGTCTGCCAATCACAAGGCCTCGGCTCCTCCCTGCGGCCCCAGGTCTACGGGGACAAGGACGCCGACGGCTTCTACCGCGGCGAGACCTGCGCCCGGTCCGGCCTCATTCCCTGCAACATGGTCTCCGAGATCCACGCCGACGACGAGGAGATGATGGAGCAGCTCTTCAGACAGGGCTTCCTCCCTCTCAACACGCCCGTGGAGAGGCTGGGTAAGAGCGCCCCGGCCCGCCGGGCCCGCCGGAGGGTCCCGGCAGGGCAGAGCGCGCCCTGCGGGCGGGCTCCGAGTCCTGCGTGCCCCCCAGCAGCGACCTTCTGATGACCTTCTAATGGGGGCGGGGAGGGCGGCTTCCTCGCGCAAGGCTGACGCGCTGAGAAAGAGGCAGCTGCTTCCCGGTCGTTCAGACGGAGTGTCTGTGCCGCCCGCCACCCCATTACCTTGAGACCCCAGCTCCCGGGGACAGGTGTGGGGGGGGAGAAGCTCGGGAGGTGATGCGGTCACGAGTGGGGCCCCCAGGGTGGGGTGAGCGCCCTCAGGAAAGGGGCCGCGGGGAGCGCCCGCCCTTTTCCCCAGCGCGGGCTCCTCTGTGAGCCAGGGCGTGGAGACGGGCACCGGACACCCGGTTTTCCCGCAACGTCACGTCTGTGGTCTGCATTTTTCCCATGTGCAGGGAACACCCACTCCTTACGAAGGTGCTTACTTTCTCTAAACAGCTGGAGACAGAGAGGCCGGTTGTATGCCAGTTATAGTTAAGGTTTCAGTACGTGAGAACATCAGGTTAACTTCTAAATCAGACTTCAAAGGACAGGCATACCTCTGAGAACGACCACAGATGAGACGAAGCGTGCCACCCTCACTGGTATCAGTGGACCTACTGTGTCACGGCTGAGGTTCGCGTGCACCTGCTGCCCCACTAAGCCCAAGAGCTGAAGCTCTCTGAGCCCTGCGCACCGAGTCCTCCCTCTCGCGGCCGACCTCCTTCCCCGACGTCAGTGGTGACGGGGCCACGAGGGGACAGGCTGCACCCACAGACTGAGGACAAACACCTGGCAGCAGTCAGCTGAAGACCAGCAACCGGAATGACATCGTCCGTTAGGTCAGACGTCTGTTTATCCCCCTCTGTGTTTCTAAGTGCGGCCAGACGACTGCCTGCCCCGCGGGTCCTGGGAGTCCTCACGCGTCCGGGGGAGAGACTGGGGGCGGCCTCCCCCCGCTCCCCTCTGCCCAGCTCCTGGCCGGTGGGGCCTCGGACAGACAGGAGTAAACTGTGTGGGCTGGAGGTGACACGAAAACCTATGGAGACTTCTCAAAGAATCTCATGGAGAAAACCTCAAAGAGTGCGTAAGGAAGCAGGTCCCAGAAGTCCCTAACCTGAGAGCTAACCAAGGTCGGCAGCTGCTCCGGGAAGGCGTCTCCACGGTCGCCGTGAGCGTCTGAGACTTACCTTTACGAAGTCGTGCCGCCGCAGCGCAGCAGAACGTGCAGGGCTTGGGCTTCGCCTGAGCACACACGCCAGGGTCCGTACGCCGAAAGCCCAGGGACACTGACGACAGAAGTCACGGAGTTGCTGGGTGAAGAGACGCCGGGTTCTCGATGACGTCCGGGGGTCAGGCGTCCCCCGCGTGACCGTCCCCCACGTGACCTGGAGGCAGAGGCGGTCCCGCTTGGAGTCTGTGCAGGGGTGTGTGCGGAACCGGCCAGCCACATGCAGAAAAGCGGGGGAACTAGAATCACCAAAGGAATTTTTTAAAAGAACAAAATTGGTAGAGTCATATAACCTGCCTGTTTTGAAAGTAATATGTTTTTTAAAATCATGTACTTACTACCTTGGCTGGTGCGGCTCAGTGGATTGTGCGCCAGCCTGAGAACTAGAGGGTCGCCGGTTCAATTCCCAGTTGGGGCACACGCCTGGGTTGCGGGCCAGGTCCCCAGAAGGGGGTGTGCGAGAGGCAACCGCACATGGATGTTTCTCTCTCTCTCTTTCTCCCTCCCTTCCCCTTTCTCTAAGAATAAATAAATGAAATCTGTAAAAAGTCATTTACTCATTTTTAGAGAGGAGGGCAGGGAGGGAGAAAGAGAGGGAGAGAAACATCCATGTGAGAGAGAAACACTGACTGTATGTACCTGGACCGGGGACTGCACGCACAGCCCAGGCACATGCTCTGCCTGGGAATCGAACCTGTGAGTTCAGTTTGTGGGATGGCGCCCAGCCCACGGAGCCACACTGGTCAGGGCTAGTCTGACTCTAAGACCTCCTGTAAAGTCACACTGACCAGGAGGACAAGGTGGTGTTGGAGAAGGCAGACACTTGACCAGTGGGAGAGAGTGAAGCCCAGCCCACTCTCCCTGGCCACCAGGCCACACCGACGCTGTGCGAACCGTCCTTGCTACATTAACGATGGCTGGGCGTCTTCTGGGCAGACCTTCTGGAAACTGAGACTGTGAAACTTCCGGAGGTAAACGTGGGGGGAACTTGTGATGATCTGGCAACTTTTTAAATAAGAGACTAAAATCACGATGCATAAAGGAAAAATAACCAACATTGGGTTTTATCAAAGTGAAATGCTTCGGAGCTTGGAAAGACGCCCTTGGAGGAGCAAAGGGAAGCTGTGGGCTGGCAGGGGCATCTGCAGGTGGCTCAGCTGGAAAGGGGTCTGTACTTTGCACCCACACACAACGTCCAAAGCTCAGCACCAGGGACACAGCCACCCGGTCGCAGTGTGGACGGAGGTGAAGAGAGTCTGCGCCAAAGATGCACGCGGACGGACGCGTAGCTTTGTGGGCGAAACACCGGTGAGCTGCAGACGGAAGGCGGGGCCCACGCAGCAGCTCCGCTGCAGCGGAACCGGCTGGCCACGCCGTGGGCAGCAGTGTGGCACCGGACCGTCCCCTGCCGCCGCTGCCGCCACCGCTTTGCAAAACGTGCCCCGTCCTCCCACAACGCAGAGGACGGAAACTGTTCACACAGTGAGCACAGGGCTGACGGCGGCACCGGAGACCGCCCGAGTGTCTCTGCCGGCACACGGACGTCACAGCCCCGGCGCGCCCACACGGTGCAGCCCGCTCTCCAGCGAAAGGAGAGCAAAGGGCCGGCAGGGCACGTGGTGGCCGGCCCCAGGGCGTCGTCCCAGAGGCTGAGACCATCCCGAAGCTGCGCGCTGCAGGGTTCCACCCCGACGGCCTTCCGGAAGAGGCTGCCGCGGGGGACAGGAGACGCGCCGCCGGTTCCCCGGGGCGGGAGGGGGCGGTCAGGGGGCACACAGGGACTTGGGGTGGCGGTGCGAGCCGATGCGCTGCAGCCAGGAAGCGCGGGCCGTGCGGTGCGAGTTGCGCCTCCGTGGGGCGTGCACGTGGGCTGTCCCCGTCAGCTGCGGGGGTTCTCGGGTGCCTCGTCCCCTGGGGCACCGACTGGTCAGAGCGCCGTCCTTGCTGCTGGAATGTGCACGTTTTGTTTTAAGGGAACGCAGTGCCCGAGCCCCACGACGGTGGGCTTGCTCGTTCTGAGTTAGAGCGAGGCGTGGGGCTAGGGCGCCTGGGCCACGGGCCCGGGGCAGAGGCTGTGGCCGGCGCCACGAGCCCGAGACCTGGCAGAGGGCGGTCGTCTCGGGCCGGCGGTGGTGACAGGGACAGGGGCCCGCGCTCGGGCAGCAACCTCACGATGGCTCCCTTCTCCCCCGGGTGCCAGCAGAGCGGACCAGAAGAGGCGGCAGGCAGCACCCCGTGCCCACGCGCAGGATGGTGGCTCTGTACGACTACGACCCGAGGGAGAGCTCGCCCAACATCGACGTGGAGGTGCCGGCCATCCCCCCCCCCCCCCGCCCCGCTTCTCCCCAGCGCATCCCTGGCACCACGCCTGGGCGGGGACCGGCCTGCTCTGGGACCCTCTGCGGCCCCAGAGTGGGAAGGGGCTGCCGGGGATGGGGAGGGGCCGCCCTCGGACAGGCTCAGGGCACAGCGGCCTCCGTGGGCAGTGACCTGGCAGTGTCATCCTGAAGGCAGGCGCGAGGGCCCCATGGTGGAGGCGCAGGGAGGGCGGGGGTGTGCTGGGCGCAGGCCCGACGTGGCTGGGTGGCCTCGGCACACCTGCAGAGCGCGAGGGACTTGCCTCTGGAGAGACCAGGTTCCCCCCGCCCCGGAGCTGCCCTCTCGGGGGACAGGGTGTGTCTGGACCCCGCCCGCCGCCCTGGGTTTCTGGGCCGCCGGCGCGCCTGGCCCAAAGAGCCCTGCCAGGCTCCGTGCATCCGGCGCCTGTGGCCCTTCGGTGGGGGCCCGCCCCCCCGGCCTGGTGGTCAGAGACGGAAGTGCGTCTTCCGGCGTCTCCAGCAGATGCATCGTCCTGTCCCCAGCCTGAGGCCGGCCCCGCGTGGCCACTGCAACAGGGGTTTGGTAGCCGAGCACAGGTCCTCCTGCCCTGGGGGAGGGTATTTGCACAAAGGTCCCTGAGGCCCCAGGTGTTCGAGGTAATGGCGCCAGGACCGGCGTTAGGACGGCCTGGCGGAGGGACGCGGCCAGGACCTGAGTTCCGGCAGAACCGGGATGCCGCCGCGCTCTCCTGCAGGGGCCCGGGTTCCGAGGGGCGCTCTTTCTCACAGGCCCCACACAGACGCACTCGTCAGCTTTGTAGGTTAACACCAAAATCTCGGGGGGCCGACCGGGGGAGATCAGGGAACCACAAAACCTTTGTTAATGCCCCCCCGCCCCCCCGCGGAGGCCGAGGCCACTCACGGTGAGCTCTCTCCCCAGGCGGAGCTCACCTTCTGCACGGGCGACATCATCTCCGTGTTCGGGGAGATCGACGAAGACGGGTTTTACTACGTGAGTTTCCGAAGCGTCGGGACGCACCACGCCGCTCACCAGCGCGTCTGGTCTGCTGTGCCCGTGCTGTCCCTGGGGCGGAGCCCCGGAGTGGACGTGCTGGGTCGCAGGGCGGCTGCGCAGGAGCAGCGGCCGGCTCCCACCGCGGCTGCCCCGGCCCCGGCGCCCCTCGTCTTCACCGGCACCGCTTCCCGCCCTCCGGAGCTCCCGTTCTGGTTTCCAGAGCAGCCGCTCCAGGGGAGGGGGGCGGCACTCCCTGGTCTTGCTCTGCGTTTCCCTGGTGATCACTGATGCTTGCGGCCACCAGGGGCCTTTATGGAGGAACCGCCATTCAGGCCCCTTGCCCCTGTCTAACCGCATCGTGTTTCGGTTGAGCTGCGGCGTCCTTTCCCTGTTGTGGAGGCTCCCCCCCACCCCGCCCCGTTCTGTGGGCTCCCTTCGCTGCCGGGGGTCTGGGTGGCCTCCGTCCCCTCACAGGGGGTCCCTCTCACGCTCCAGCTCCCAGACCGGTGAGCAGAGGGCAGGCTGCCATGGGCCGCCCTGGGATGTGGCCCGGGGCGCCCGTGGGGCGGGGGGGCGTCAGGCGTGGGGAAGGTGCGGGGCAGTGGGCTGCGACCTCCCGGGGCAGGCGGCGGCTGGGCCTGCGGGTGGCGACCCTAGCTCTGTGCGCAGAGACGAGTGCATGGGGGGACTGGTCTGGAGGGTCACACACCGGCTCGAGGCTGTGGTCTCGGGGGCTGGGGTCTGCAGGGTCTGCACTTCCAGGGAGAACGAAGCCGGGCCCTGGGGGCAGAGACAGGCGGCCGGACAGACCCGCCCCCGCAGCTGACCCCTGAGCTGTTCTCCGCCTCCCGACCCCGAGCTGGAGGGCGTCTGTCTGGCCGGTGTTCCCGGGACCCTGAGTCCCAGCACTGAGAACCGTGGGCTGAGACCACCCGAAGCTCCAGACGGGCCAGGTGCCAGGGTCACCCAGGCCCCACGACAGCCCACACCCTCGGCTCCGGCCCACAGGCCAGGTCTGGGGAGGTCACAGGGGTCGTGGCCACAATCAGGGCAGCTGTGCGTCGTGCCCCTGTTGAGCCGGAAGCAGCCCCCACGCCGCTGTCCTCTGAGCTGTCCTGCGGGGGAGGCGGGGGTGGGGCGGACGCGGGGTCGGGGGCGGCGGAGCGAGGGTCCTCCAGCCCCCGTGTGTCTGCAGGGGGAGCTCAGTGGGCAGAAAGGCCTGGTGCCCTCGAACTTCCTGGAAGAAGTGCCTGACGACGTGGAGGTCTACCTCTCGGACGCCCCGTCCCCCCACGCGCGGGACGCACCGGCGCGCGCCAAGGCCAAGCGGGTAAGCAGCCGTCCCCCGCGGGTCTCGTGTCCCTGCCGCCTGCGCGCACACGCGGGCTGCTGTCCGCCCCGCGTCCTGAGCCGGAAGCACACGCCCTGAGCGCCCCCTGCGCCCCTCGGGGGGCGAGCCCGAGAGCGCCCACCTCTAGAACTCACGCCACACACACGGCGGCCCCTCGGTTCTCACCGACCCGCCTCCGCGCGCAGGGGCCCCTCCCCCGTGGCTGACGCACATGCGGTCTGAGGGGCTCGGGCTGCCTGTCCGGCCGCAGGCGCCAGGCGGCAGGGGGGCAGCCCCGCCGGGGTCCCCGCCCGCTGGCCTCGGTCGGAGCGCCCTGCGGGCTCCTCCCACGGCCGGATGGCACTCACGTCTAGTGTCTCATTTTTGTTTTATCTCATCACTGCGAGTTTTTCTATATTATATTTTTATATATATATATTTTTATTTCTTTGCTCATCTGCTTGGAAACAGAAGAAGAGTGTTCATTTCACACCTTAATCAGGCAATGTAGCCTTCACGTAAGTGAGCAACTGAAGATACCCATAAAGCACCGACCTAAGCTACCTTAACGGACTAGCGCGGTAGACTTACGGTTCGCTGTGGGGTTGAGAGGAGGAACACGTCTCAGAAAATCATTGGACCGACAGTGTCAGGTGTCCGCCGCTGGGCGTCAGTTGCACAGCAGCTGGGCGTGGGGCGAGACGAGCCGTCCCGCACGGCCACTTCCTTCCGTCCACTCGGGGAGCACCCGAGAGGCCCGCATTGGGAGCGCATTTCTTAAGAGGCTAATGGCGTGTTTATGTGGCGTTCCAGGGTCCGCTCGTAACCGAGGCTGCGTGTCACCTCGAAAGCCACTCTTGCCAAAATCACGGCCTCGCACGAGTCTTTGTACGGGGGCTTTTCCAGAGAGGCCCAGCAAGGGCAGACCCCCGGCGGGGCGTGCCCGGCTCTCCGGTCCCAGGCCTCTGTGCAGCGGGGGCCACGCTTCTCCCCAGAGCACAGAGACGCGGGGGGCGGGCTGGCCAGGTGGCTGCCAGGGCAGCGCCAAGCCCGGTCTAGGAGACGTGCAGCTCCAATGATTGCCTCAGACGGAGGACACGGTATCTTCAGGTGACCGGGGTGCTGGACGAGGCGTTTTCCATTAGAGTTAGACCTTGACTTTCAATCCAAGCAAGCTTGAAGCCCCTTGGCCGGTGCCCTCTGCCTGCTGAACACTGGGCCCCGGGCGGTGCGGTTTGGGGGAGGGGCTTGCTCTGGCGAGGTCAGGCAGCGAGGGGCGGTGGGCCCAGAGGTCAGGTGCGAGGCCAGTCGGGACCTGGCGTTGCTACCAGGTGCCTCGTGGTGAGCTCAGTCGCTCCCAGTTTAAGGTCAAGGCCGTAGAGACACTGAAACTCATCACGTGCTCACAACCGACAAAATTCCTCCTCTGGTTACGTGTGAACAATGACTGCACACAGTGAGGGCCTTGAAGCTTCCTTTGATTGTGATTAAGGTTCATTTTAGTTTTCTTTGCTTTCGACCGGTGTGCCATCTCCAGTATTTCTGACCCCGGGACGCACGCGGCCACCCCAGGGCGTATGGACCCACGTAGCTTTCAAAGGCGACCAGGTTCCCTTAAGAACGTTCCCTTTGAGATCACCAGTGGGAACCCGGCCACCTTTACTATCAACTTAGTTTAAAGTAGCCCCCACCCCCGGTCTTAATGTACAAGGGAAGTGATTCCCTAGCCAAAGCGCTGGCCACCCTGCCCTGAGGACACAGACTGAGCCAGCCAGGCCTCGGGCCGGAGACACTGGGGCGGCCCCCCTGCTCCGGCACGACCCCCTTGAGAGAAGGAAGAGCGCCCCCCTCTCCCCTGTGCGTGGGCCGGGCGTGCGGCGCGGCCGCGGGGCCTGGCGGCGTCGGCGCTGACACTGTCACACTGTGCCTACTAGGTTCCTCCCGAGGGGTCGGGGACAGCAAGGAGAGCGCCGTCCCCCACGGCCCACCTCCACGCGGGGTCACCTGCGTCATCTCTGGGTACTGGGAGTCCCGGGAGAGGCAGGGAAATGTCCTCGAGAAAGAAAAAGGGGCTGCTTTTCAAGGGCAAGAGACTGCTGAAAAAGCTGGGCGCGGTGAAGTGACCACGGCTGCGGACGGCTCCGACCCCGCGCGGGTTTCTGTGACCCCAGACGAGGGCTCTCACGACCGCTCTCCCCAGGACCCCCTCCCGACCCCGCGGCGGGCGCTGCCCCTCCACCCACCTGCCTCAGAGGCTGCGGCCCCCTGGCGGTCACCGCCCAGGTCTCGGGAGGGCCCCCTGATGGGCCAGACCCCGGCAGCCCCCACACCGGGCCCCTAGTCTTTGTGCACTTGTCATCTGCCCCTAGGGGGGCGGCTCCCGCCCTCCTCCCTCTCCCCAGTGCTCGCCCCACGCGCGGGACTGCCACCCGAACTCTGGTCCTGAGGCCCCCGGTCGGGCCGCCTTGGTGTTCTGCCTTACTCCTGCACAACGGTCTGTACTGTCTAATAAAACTTCGCTGTCCGCTGCCTGTGTGGTGCGTCCAGTGCTCTCCACCCCCCGCACACCCAGGGTCTCAGGCCCGCCTGTCCGGGCGGGGAGCTGGGAGGTCCTGGGTGTGCTCCGTCTGAGCGGGCTCGGCGCCCCAGGACGGGTGCACTCCCCTAACTCGCTCAGAGCAGAGCAGAGCAGAGCAGAGCAGAGCAAGGGACTCCCTTAGCAGGGCCCCCTCCCCACCTGCCGGAGAGCTGACACCGCCCACCGCTTCGTGCCGCACTCTGGCCTGTGGGTCCCGTTCCTCTCACCGCTCGTTAGAGCACCACACACAGACGCAGCCAGCCGCCCGGAGAGCCATCCCCTCACGCACGAGCACAGCAGGGCGCCCCGGCTGGGGTCTGCTCCCAGGGTCCCCCCAACCCATGGGCACTTGAACAAAGATTTAGAGTTGCCGGCAGGTGCGTTTGATGGTCACTATTTTGTAATTCTTGTCCACTTGTAAATTGTTTTTACTCTTTATACAGACTTTTCAGACTGCCTTTTTTTGTAATTTATGGAAGGTTTATAAATGACAGAGCTTTCCCCATTGTGTCTTCAAAACTGTGTTGTCAACTGTGATGGAACCTGTGTGGCAGACGAAGAGGAAACGACCCTGTGTGGTTAAGTGCGGTGTGGGCGTGTGCATGTGTACGGCCAGTGTCAAATGTTCCCTAGAAATAAAACTGGTTGTTTTGTACGACGCCAGGCATCCTGTGGTGTTTGAAGCACTCGGTTGCAGCAGACAGCCGAGTCCTCCAGCACGGACAGCACAAAGCCTGACCTTCCCTGGAACTCCTTCCTTCCCTGACACCGTCCTGGCCCACGGCTTGGGCACCGTTGGCAGAGTGCTGTCGCTCACCTTGGTGACGGCCTGGTCCGGGGCACAGCCAGGCCGTCGGCACCGAGTCAGCGTTTCCCGTGCAGCCCAGGCCAGAGGCGGGGAGGGGCGCCCCCATCTGCGCCCGCGCCCTCGGCACGGCCGGGTCCCAGCGGCGGGGACAGCGAGCGCCGCTCGGCCGGCATCGCGCGGCAGCACTTCTCGGAGGCAGACACTTTCCGGAAGCGCCCTCGTGGGTTTAGCATTCTCCTGGTGACGGGGTTCGCCCTCCCAATGGGGGCCAACCGGCACGCCACAGGTGGGACGGAGTGGAGTCGCTGCAGCGCCGTACCTTGGTGAAATGACGTCCGAGTCTGTCAGTCAACCGCCACCCCGGCGTCTTCCCCTGCGACGACGACGTCTCCTCTCCTCCTGCCGCTGTGGCGCGAAGGGCTGGCGACGGGTGTGCCACCTGCGCGGCGGCCCCACCGCAGGCCCTGGAGCCAGACCCGCATGCGCAGGGGTGGGGCGCTGGTCCCCAGGGGCTGGGGGAGGGGAGCGGGGGCTGGTCGGAGGGTCCGCAGTTTCCGTCCCACGCCAGTGAGTTTCGTTACGTGTGAATGCATCCCGGCCCTCTGGTGTGAAGGGAAGGCTAAAACGCTAGGTTAAGTGGAATGTTTAAATTTGCTTCACAATTCCAGCGTAAGAAATACTAACGTAAGTGTGTGTGTATGTACTTAATGCCACGGCACACTCAGAAACGGTGGACGCGGTGAAATTCATGCCGCACTTGACCACAGTAAAAAGCAAACCGACGACAGTTTCTCCAGAAGGAAAAACCAGCGGCCAAGGCGGCCCGGCCCGTGCTTCTCCAGATCGTCTGAGACACAAATCTCCCAACAAAACCCAAAGCGACGACGAGCCGGATGCGGCTGGGGTGGAGGTCGCCAGACATTTAAGGAGCACAAAGCGCCCACTGTGTGCAAGTTCTTCCCGGAGACCAGAGGAGGAAGATGCCCGCACTCGTGAGGCCCGCATCGTCCTGACGCCCGGACTGGACCAGTGCGCTGGAGGGGAGCCGCAGACCAGCAGCGCCATGAATGGACACTAAGGGAAAGCCTTAACAGAATATCAGCGGAGCGTATCCCCAGTGTGCGCAACGGCTGGTCATCGTGCTGAGCAGGTCAGCGCAGTTCACTGCACCAGCAGGACCAAAGGGACCTGCGCACTCTCGTCGTGTCCATGGCAGCAGGGGCCGCCCTGGACAAGGTCCACGCCTGCTCAGGAGGCAGGAAAAGAAAGAAATTCGTCTCCACCGGCGAAGGATGCAACCCACACTGCCCTCCGCCGTGAGGACTGGCCGCACCCCTTCCGTCGGGAACCGGGCGGGGTGTCCACCTGCCGGCTGGCGTCCGGCCCCGTGCGGGGCTTCTCCGGCACGGCGGGAGGGAGAAGGAAACGAGGCCGCCCACCCGCTCGGGGAAGGGGGGGGAAACGGTCCCTGTCCGCAGGCGACACGACCCTGTGCAGGTGACGCGCTCGGTGAGGTGGCAGAGGGCCGCGTCAACGTGCAGAAGTCAACTCTCGCTGCCCACCAGCAGGTGATAGTCAGAAGTGGAAAGTGAAACACTCCCACGTGACATAAAAACACGTGTGGTTGTATCAGCATCAGAGCCGTGAGAGACTCGGGGACAAATTTAACGAAGTGTGAGTGAGGCCGGAGCACTGAGAAGTGTAACTGTTGCTTAAGCGAGACCGCCACGGGGCTCCTAAATCTCCGTGGTGGCAGGCGCAGGAGTGTGGGATTCGTCACAGCTCATGGAACTGCATTCACTTACACGAAAATTGTACCTCAATGAAGCTGACTTAAGAAACGGTGGCCTGCCAGTTGGGGAAGAGGGGGAGGAGCTGGTGTCCGGAGGTTCAGAACTGCCCAGAAAGAAGGTGTCAGTGCACCTCTCTGCACGCACAGGCCCCGGGTCCCACGGAAGGTGCGAGGTGGCCCAGGAGCAACCCCCGGGACCTGGCCCTTCCTGCACAGTGTGGTCTCCGTGGGCCCAGGACCACCGGACGCCTGCCCGGGCCGTGGCTGAGGCCTGGCTGCCCCTCCCCAGGAGTCCTTTCATGGAGGGGTGGGTCGGAGACATGAGCTAGGTCGTCACCTTTGTCACTCACAAAAGACGCCGACTAAAACCAAAGCAGAAGGAAGCGGACCGGGGGAGACGGAGCCGTAGTGTCGTCTCATCAGCCTGACTCTCCAGCCGCTGAGCCACGTCCGCCCGAGGTGGGACCATGCGGCCCTGGCCGCCGGGACCCAGCCCTCCTGGCCCCTCCGCACGTCCAACTCCCGGGTCTGTGCGGGGCAAGGCAGGTGTTCCGACTCTGTCGGAAGCCGTGGCCCAGGATAAACAGGAACGCGGTCCGTGCCTCCTCTGGCTGCACTGAGTCCAGCGGCTTTGTGTCTCTTGAACGAAGTCTTCAGCTCGTGGTGAGGGAGAGCCTCCTCACTGCCCCCTTCTCAGAATTGCCACATTTCCCAAATTTTTCACGGTTTGGGAGACAGGACAGCCTTTCAACTTTAAGGGGTAGTTTAAAAACTGCTAAGAATGAGGCTTTAAGGACTAAGGTTACTGACCATTCATAAAGACCCATAAATAAAAACTAGTGCCCACATCGCCCTTTTACAGTCGCATGATTGGACTTCCTTATTTTCCTTCATACTGTGACAATTTTTGCCATTGATTTCCTTTCTCTGTCTGGCATTCTTCCGAAACTTCACAGTCCTCTGTTTTCTTCTGATGTTTAGAGACCACACAGTTCAAAAAACCTGGACTAATAGCCAAGAACCGTGTTAACAACAGTTACTAGCTCAAAGAACTAAAAACAACAAAACTTACAGTGGTTTTATTCACGGTGTTAATAAGACTGAATCCAAAAGGTATTTACTGCGCAGGACAAGCAGCCCCACTGAACTGCGGAAGCCGCTGTCCCCGTGGCCTGCACACAGTCGGCGCTGCAGCCATCCCCCGACGGGCGGTGTGTGAAGGGGTCACGACACACGACGTCCGTCCGCAAGAGGCCCAGCCGTTGCTAATATAACGAGAACGGTTTGCGTGGCATCGATGTGCCCTGGCAGCCGAGGAGCGTGGACTGGGAGGCACAGTCGTGAACAATGACGACTTCACTGGACCAGTCGGTGCAGGCGGTGGATGCCACTGAGTGAGCGTGTGCACTGTGTGGCCGTCACATTCAAAGTGACTGAGCGAGGAGAGCAACGAGTCTGCATCCAATTTTACGTTCAGCTTGAACCTTCCCCCACGGAAACGACTCACGTGGCTCAGAGGCCGCAGCTGTGGGCGCCTGCTGGTTGGCGGCTTCATCAGGACAACCTGTCTGCTAACGCATCACGTCTCATGCAGAGTTTTTTGTGAAACATCAAAGTACCCAGGCGACTCAGCCTCCCTACTGGTCAGACTTCTGGCTTTTCCCAAAACTAACATCCCCTTTGAAGGGGAAGAGACTTCAGACCATCAGTGAGATTCGGGGAAATACGACAGGGCAGCTGATGGTGACTGGGAGAACTGTGGGAGGTCCCAAGGTGCCTCCTTTGAAGGGGACTGAGGCGTCACTGTCCCGTGTACAATGTTTCTTGTATCTTCCTCAATAAAAGTCTCTATTTTCCATAGTGCATGGCTGGATACCTTCTGGCCAGGCCTCGTACAGTTGGTTACTCAGCAGCCTCGAACCCACTCTTTACAAACTTTCCCGAAACCCCCCCCAGACGTGCAGGCCCGAGCTCGGTGCAGGCACCTGCTCCCGACGGCGCCGACACCCGCGGCCGCGCTTCCTCCGGGGCTCACACTGCGGCCCACGGGGGGAAGCCCTTCCCAACGCGACTGCGCCCTGACGCCGGGCCCCGTGGTGGCTCTGGTTCAGCTCATGGCCGTGGGACAGCCTGGCCACTGCGGGTGCCCTCCAGCAGTTTGAGGAGCACATTACATGGGAAAATGCATACGCTCCCAGGAAAAACAGAAACTACGCTGTGATTCCAGCAGGTGACCATCACTTCCATTTTATTTTACAATAAATAGAATGAAGGCCCACTTGCAAAACCAAACAGTAACGCTGCGATAGACCACTGGCCTCCTGCTGCTAAAAGGTGCTAAATGTTTCTTTGAACAGAAATTTAAGTTTTCAGTTCTTCCTTGATGCCCACCCTGCGGGCCTATTTCTCCGCAGTACCCGCCCCCCGTTCCTGGTGGGCGTCCTTCAGTGGCGGCTTCCGTCCTGAGTAGGACGTACCCGAATGAAGCCGCGCCTTGTGACTGTAGTGGGCTTCCTACTTCGTGCCTTTTCTCCTTCATGTTCAAAATAAATGTCCCAAAACTAAGGTTAATGTAGGTTACAAGTAGGACTTTCTGTCACATGAAAGTACTTTCAAACAGTTAGACTCTGTTCATAAAACAAAGTGCCTTACCCATTTTCTTCCGAAACAAACAAAACTCCTGACTATGTTTGAGGCAAACAACTTAAAATATAAAATCTTAACTTCTCCCTGTGAAATAAATAGATTAGTAGCAATCGTAGAATTAAGACTCTCGACCCCCGAATTCCCTCCCCAAGTTCCAACTATGAAGAGAACGGTTAAAAAGTTAAGGCGGGGAACCCCAAAGTGGTCCCGGGGAAGGAGGAGCGCCGCTCGCCGTGGCCCCCCGTGGCCGCGCCGTGGCTACAGGTAGTACAGGCGGTTGGAGAGGGACAGGTTCGGCTCTCGGTGGATGCTCTGGCCCACGAGGAAGGCCAGCTTGTGCGCGTACTGGCAGGGCGCGGGCACGCGGATGACGCCCTTCGGGGGAGAAGACAGAGCTGC